TAGATAATCTGTGCACTGAGGTGAAGTTTTATGTTACACAATGTCATTCAATTGAGAAGTTAGTTTTTAATAAAAGTTTAACAGTTTCTAGAGTATTATATTAATACACAAAACAATGCCTAAGTGGTTTGCTCTTAAATGTTTTGCACATTTTAACCTTTTTAAAAAAAAAAAAATCTAATTTTATGCGTTTTCGAATATAGAATTTTACACATTAGTCACGACGGATAGTAAATGTAATAAATATGCTGTGTTATGAGTACCTACTAAAATGGTGACCTGTTGTTCGTTCGCTGACGCCGCGCCGTTTCCAATGTGCGATTAAAGTCATTGCAGTAATCATAGATAATTTAGTATTTATATAGGACAGCAATAATACGTGGTAGAGCCTTACTGCAGCTATATTATGGTTGTAGCACGAATGGGTTGGCTCGACCGGGGTGGGACCACGCTCTCACAGAATACCAGCGTAAAATTGCAGCTTAACGATGCTGTGTTTTGTATGGTGAGTACAGAGAACCGGAGACCCTTTTTACTGGAAAGAGGCATTCCATCTTAGTTCTCGCGGGTGACAACGCATCTGCATTTTGATTCGCATACGAGGATAAATGTAGATGTCTATGGGCCACAGCATTCACTTACCATCAGATGGACTGTGTGCTCGTTTGTAACCCTTATTCTATATTTAAAAAAAATACGTACTACGTACTAGAAGAGACGCCAATACTGTTTCTTTCTGTATTATTAGTTAAATTTTCTTATTTAATCTGTACATCGTATAAAACAATGTCGCTTCTCACCGTCTGTACGCTTAGAGCCTTTAAACTACGCAACGGATTTTGATGTAATTTTCATTAATAGACCGAATGATTTAATTGGAAGGTTTATATGTATAATACATGCATATTATATAGTATATAATTCTTCTGTCCGTGTGTGTATGATTGAACTCCTCCTAAACGGCTGGATCGATTTTAATGAAATTTTAAGCGTGTGTTTAAGTTGATTAGACAATGGTTTCGATTTACAATTAGACCCGGTAGGTGGCGTTGTTGTCGAGATCCAGAAATCCACCGTCTGAAGCCGTGGCAGATCTCAGTCAATTTTATGTATATGTATAGTAATATATACAGTTGGGTTTTAGTGATCTCAAGCAAAACACAAAGCGATCGTTAACCGAACAAATAAACAATGTAATCGTTCAATTGCTCCATTGAAAAAGCACGTCTAATGCTCGTGACCGTGGCCCGAATACATAACAAGGTGTTTAGGCACATGTTCCACTATTTTCACGCTCAAGAAACGAACAATTAATAGATGTAGATCCCGAATCAATAAAAGATATAAAACAGTAGGGCCATGGTAGCTCAGATGGTTAGCGTGCGCTGTAAATTTCACAGTATGCGAGTAACCCGTGTTCGATCCCCGCCGGCACCAATGAAATTGTTAATGGCAATTTTAAGTGCTGATTTACTACGTGCTCGGCGGTGAAGGAAACATCGTGAGGAGACCTACATGACTGAGAAATAAGAAAAAGACATTTCGAAGACATGTGAAGTTCGCCATCACGCATTGGGGCAGCGCGGCGGACACTTTCTTGCCCTAAAACTCACTCAGAAATGAGCGGTGGCCTGTGCCCAGCAGTGGGACGTATATAAGCTGTAACTTTAACTTTATACAGTAGGGCCTCGATAAACCAAACACCCAATATTTACACCTTGTTCGGATTAACGGGCCGTTCGGATTACGGTATCTAGATATTATATCATCTTCAGGGTCAAAGTCATCCAGATCTTGGTCGAAAGTTTCTTCTATTCTTAATTATGAGGGCCACAAAGGCTTTCAAGGTTTTTTGATCACATTTAAGGACAGTTGTTGCCAACATTGAGCCAGAGCAAATACAGCATCTTTCATGGTGTTTTTTGGAACCAAGTTCCTCGTCGGACGGTACGAATTTGGCGGATGAGGGCTTGGCGAGAAAAAGTATAAGAAGTTACCGTCACGACCCCTTATCACGTAGTAGTTTAAAAAAAAAGAGAAAAAAAGAGTGTAGACGGCTTTGGTGGCCTTGGCGGAAGCAAGATGGAATAATATCCATCTCCTTCTTACTTTTTTTTTGAAAGAAATATTATTTTATTTTAAATGACGCTTCATTTTAACAGACGCTAGTAATTCATTTATTTGTATTTGTTAATCAATAATATAATACCTACGTTTATCAATAATAATATACTACGCAAGGAACTTCGTTCCAACCAAGTGTTCTGCGACACTCACGCATGTATTTTTTTTTAAGAATTTCGGATAATGTATATTCTGAATGTTGAATTGAATTAAGGCATGGCAATGTTTACAACGGTGAAATTTTCGTCAATCCACCGCAAATCTTCTGACCGGCACTGCTATATTCTTTGTGACAGCGGCTTTCCAGATGGTCGTTCGGATTATCGGAGTTTCGGATAATCGAGGCTCTACTGTACATAATATGTTAATAGTTGATCGCTGGCTGTTCACACTGACGGCGAGAATTCTCTCTCCACTAGTTCGTCGCAACGACAAGCGCTATCAAAGATAAGTCTCGCACAGCGATGCTCGCTTGGCGGTCAGAACTCGCTGCTCGCCAACTCTTATCTACCCTTATCTATAGTTTCTAGCTCTACTCTCATCGTTGGCGGTGGGATAAGTGCCTTAAGGCGTTGACATACCAGTTTATTTGTTCACGACTTAACTTTTTAACAATGCTTTATAAAAAATAAAAAATAAAAATAAAATATCTTTATTTCAGGCAACACAGGACCCATACAAGAATGTTAGTAACAGTGAAATGAAATAAAACTTAAATTATAGTGTTAGTAATTAAATTAATTTACATAAATAATGATGACAAAATGTAAAATGTAAATGGAGATGTTTGAGTTTTTTATAGCGTTAGTGCTGTTATTTATTCCGTAGCTTCCTGTCATTGTGAAGCACGTACAAAAACAAACCTTAACAGTGTGTCTTTTTGTATGTTACGCGAAATCTTGATCAATTTTCTCTCTAAATTCAATCTTGATATTCGTTGCGTGGTAGAGCCATACTGCAGCTATATTAATAGTATATATAGTTGTAGCACGAATGGGTCGGCTCGACCGGGGACGGACCACGCTCTCACAGAATACCATCGTCAAATAGCAGCTTAACGTTGCTGTGTTTCGTATGGTGAGTGTAGAGGACCGGAAATCCTTTTTAATGGAAACGAGGCATTCCATCTTAGTCCTCACGGGTCAACGTAATCGAGGATAGATGTAGATGTTTATGGGCCACAGCAACCACTTACCATCAGGTGGACTGTGTGCTCGTTTGTCACGCTTATTCTATAAAAAAGAAATCTACGGCTATACATTTCCAAAAAGAAATTGTCAGTTTTCTGGCAATTTCTAGTTGCAATTAGACCGCTTACGAGCGCGTTTTGCATTTTTTAAATAATACTCAAGCAACCTGAATTCGTGCCGCGATTGCATCACCGCTGAAATTATAGATATTAATTTTAAATGCAACTTTGCAGTAAAATAATTTATTGTAAAAACTTACATGTCCGAAGTATTTAAAATATTTCTAGGACATGTGAACAACACCAACAATCAAAATATTGCACTACAAAAAACACTAACCAATCAAAATAGTGATTTCATGAAAGTTTTTTTTTTTGGTGGTGGACTTATACTGTTTTACTTTTGCCAGTGTTAAGTAATAAGAAATTATCTATACTATGATATAATAAAGCGGAAGAATTTTTTTTAACACGCTAATCTCTGGAACTATCAGTCGGATTTGAAAAAGTATTTTTGTACATTACAGCCAGATTCATAGCATTAAGCTACATATCTGAGCCTTAAAATATTGACGTTATTTAAGGCTAAGTGATTTATTCAGAATGAAAAGCGCTACCGAAATGATTTATCCTTATAGAGATGAAGGGCAGACAGTAAACCTGTGCACTAGGGATGCAGCTCTTTTACGCAATGTTAATAACAGTTTGTTTAAAAACTTTCGCGTCATATTACAAAGTTTTCGGGACATGATGGCAGCTTGAGCCAGCAGACTGTCAATGTCGTTAATATCTCAAATCGTTTAAGCAGACACATTATCTTAAGGTTGACATCACCATCGAAGTACCTCATCGATATATATGTACTACGTAGTAGATTTCGTATTCCGAACATACACTATGTTCAACTGAACTGTACTGCAATCCGTAGTGTCATTTAGTGTGGTTTCAATCTACTAGTTAGTCTGTGGTGGCGCAACTGCGTATGCGCGACTCTACTATCTCCCGCGCATGCGATAAGACATAGAGTAGTGCACATTTTTTGTTTAGAATGGCTTCTCTAGTACGTAGTACATATAACTCAATGGAGTACCTATTTCATCATTTCCACTTATAGTACACCATAGACATTAAATACACAAAATCGCACCACTTTTACATATCTAAGTCCACTTCAAAGCATTATTTAAACAATAATACAGTAGCAGCAATCCGGCGGCGGTCAAGTTCCCGCCAAAAACCTTCGTGAAAGTAGTTCTATATATTTTTTTTAAATTGGAAATGGCAAAGGCACTTATAACATTCTGTATCCTCATAAACTATTATTAACTTCAATATTGTAACTTCTCATTAAGTGAAATGTATTTTTCTTTTGAGTATAAATAACTTTAACCATAACTTACAGTTCATTTTATGGTAAGTAACTCAAGGTTACTGCAGCCCTTGGAGACTTGCAACCAAATTCAAACAAAAAAGGTTACAGGTGAGTTGTCACCCCTGTGGACTAAGATGCAATGCCTCACAGCCTGCAATTAGACTGACTCTCTAAAAACTTCAGACCGAAAAACAAAATAGGTAAAAGAATGGCGCCTTTCCAGACAGATTCCTAGATACAATAGGAGTCCTAACCCCTAGTAAAATTGATATACGCTCTTACTTTAAAATAAAACCTCATATTCACCCGTTTCAGGCTATACCGCCCCACCACCACTCATGGAACAGATGCGGCTGTACCACGTGGACATGAACCCGTATGGTCACCGAGTGCTGCTGATCCTGGAGGCGAAGAAGGCGAAGTATGAGGTGTACAAGCTGGATCCACTCCATCTGCCCGAATGGTTCAAAGAGAAAAACCCTAGGCGTGAGTATTGCAAGACGTAGTTACCGCCGAATGGCCGATTAAAATAAACTGGTAGGTACCCGGCGGCCTGTTCCATTCATAACTGCCTTTACGTTTTACGGAATTAACGGTGTCAAAACCGTTTGTGCGTAAGTAACCGGTAACCTTTATCGTTTAGGATAAATAAAAATCGGTTACTTGTTTAACCGGTAATTGAATGAGCAATATATTTATAGGTAATTAATCGAAATTAACGGCTCTTTTTAAATATCGGCTCCGCGCCCTGCCCGGCGCATTGCTGCTGCAGAAGAAACAATTGTGGGAATATCGTTTTAAATTTGGAAGAGTTACATTGTTTAATTTGGAATATGTAATACATTCAGTTAAATCGAATGATACATTATAACTTTCAAATAAATTTGTCGGTACAACAAAGTAACAAGGATATTATTTTTATTTATGCTCAAACTGATGCAACCTATCTTATCGCTCCGTATTCGCTTGACGTAGAGTTTCGGGACATCCTTTATACGGTTTATTTTGCAATATGCGACCAAATTTTGACAGAAGTTAAAAAAGTTGAAAAATTAGTAATATAGCCAAATGGTAAAGAAAAATTTATATAAAAAAAAATTCAAACATTCTGTCCTTTTTATCTTTTAAATTCACAATGCGTGGTAATGCATTATTTTAACTGATTTTCTACTATTTTACTACGCACGCTCACATTTGTAAGGGTCGATCGATCGGCAAAAACTATGTGAATTTAATCGCAACACAGTGGGTGCGTACAAGCATAGTTATTGCCTATAAATCACATAATTTTAAATAAAAATAGAAGTCTTATTTACTCGTATTTTCAAAAACTCCAATAACGGTATATACAAATAGGTACAGGTGTACCTTAAAGTGATAACCTTTTATGGCGTTTTCAGTGAAGATTCCAGTCCTCGAAATACCCACAGATCAAGGCGACAAATTTCTCTTTGAGAGCGTCGTTATATGTGACTACTTGGACGAGAAGTATGCAAGGAACCCCCTTCATTCCCGAGACCCGTACGTGAAGGCCCAGGATAGACTGTTGATCGAGAGGTTCAATGAGGTTGGTGGTTTAAAAATTGTTGTTTTTTTTAAAGGTAACCTCCACTAAGATTTACTTATGTATCGTGAGGACAGTTTACAAAGATAAATTGCACAAGGACAAACATCCGGACCTATAGCAGTTATTTGTAGCTCATACAAATATTTGTTCAGTGCGGGATTCTAACCCGCGGCCTTTAGCGCTGCAACTCAATTGCTAAGCCACGGAGCCGTCAGTCTTCCGTCTTGGTGTGCAGTGGCGACGTAAAAGAATCCACTACCATCATCTATCTCATCATCATATCATTCTATGGGTGTCGTAAGAAGTGACATTCATGATCCTTTAGCTATTGAGTGGTGTAATTAAATTTTGGATAATGATAAATATATAGCTGCAACACCAAACTATCCTCCGATTTTGTTATCATCTGTTTTCTGAATTTACTCCCATTGTGGAAACAAATTTAAAGACATAATTATCTCACAAACGTGGTAAAAGTATCGCGTCCTCGAAATAACAAAAACAACATCATGTTATAATAGTTGCTATCTATTAAAAATTCTAGCTCATTAAAGGCAGCTTGGAGTGCTTCGACACTAACTTCGCATTCGGCAGTGAACAAATTATGCAGACCATTGACGTCTTCGAGAAGGAACTCGCTACGAGAGGTAAATTTGATTTTTACAGATTTCCAGTAGCACAGGTTTTTTTTTTATAAAATAAGGGTGACAAACTACCACATATACGTGGTAGAGCTATGCTGCAGCTATATTAATAGTAATAGGTCGGCTAGACCGGGGAAGGACCACGCTGTCACAGAACACTAGCGTAAAATAGCAGCTTAACGCTGCTGTGTTTCGTATGGTGAGTGTAGAGAACCGGAGACCCTTTTTACTGGAAAAGAGGCATTCTATCTTAATCCTCACGGGTGACCACGCATCTGCATTTAAATTCGCAAACGAAGATAGATGTAGATGTCTATGAGCCACAGCAACCACTTACCATCAGGTGGACTGTGTGCTCGTTTGTCATCCTTATTCTATGAAAAAAGACATCTACATTTATCATCAGATGCGTGATCACCCCTGATGAATAAGATAGAATGCCTCTTTTCCAGTAAAAAGGATCTCCGGTTCTATACAGTCACCATACTACTGCTATTTTACGCTGGTATTTTGTGAGAGCGTGGTCCTTCCCACTTCCCATCTATTGGTTTGTGTTCCCTCTGTCACCTCTTACAACACCCACGATTAACTATTATAGGGTAAACGACCATGACGCGCGTATTTTTCCACCGCCATTACTCGCGCTTAATCTGTCAAGCCTTTGAAGTACACATGAGGCAATCCAAGGTCAACTTTGTAGAACGCTCCAAAGAGTATGGTAATATTTAGAAAGGACCCCTCAGAACCAAAGAGTATATGATCACTACACTACGTTTAGTCAGAACCATAGTTATTGTGCTCATAACAATTATTTTTTAAATGTTATTTAGATGAACTATAAAACTAAAATTTTATTATAATTAGTTTCGTTATTAAATTACGCTTCTTTAAATTAACAGAATTTACTTCAAATGACGAGTTTCCGCCTCGCGTCGCGTTTACGTCACATACTTTAGTCTTATATCCTTCGCCGCGTGAGTGTAAGAGGCAACTAGACATTTTACAAAAAATTAAGTGGGTACAATAGAAAGTTTTTTGTTAGTTTTTATACAAATGGTAAGTAATTACACTGTTTTAAAATTTAATTCCTTATATTTTGCTTCGTAACAATTTCATATATTTTATAAAATTGCCATTTCAAATACTGTGTCGTTCACGTATCACTATATTTAATAGCCAGAATTAACTGAAAAGTAAATAAAAAGTGTGAGTTATCACAATAAATCATGTAATAAACACAAATTTTCATATCCCACAAAGTCCAATGCGCGAAAATTACGTTTTATGTTATAATTTCGATATATAGTGAACATTATGGCGAAGTTGTTTTCAACAATAACTAAAAATAAAAATGTGAATGTGAAGCACCAGCTTTCAAATAAAAAAAGAATCATCGAAATCAGTTCACCCAGAAGGTTATGAGGTAACACACATAAAAAAACACAGTCGACTTCCTTCTCCTGTTTGAAGTCGTTAGAAAAATGGCGTTGCTCAAAGATAGCGTAATAAAGTATATACTTTATTACGCTATCTTACGGATGTACAAGTATATACCTGTGATTTAATTTTTTTTGAGGCTTCTACTGAGTTTATCGATATAATTATATTATATATTTCTTTTCTTTATGAAAATCAAGTGTTTCTATGTCCTTGTTTCTTTCTTCATAATATTTATTCGATTTTAACATATATATATTGAATTTTAACATAATATAGCGATTCGTTAGATTTGCCTTAGTTGTAAAAGTGAAATAATATTTACTTTTTTTTCTTTTCAGTAGAATTGTTTGGTTTTGTTATTTAATATTGTTTTAACCATTGAACTTGTTTACGTAACTTTTGTTTAATAAATTGTTTGATGACTTTTTTACACATAATTGTTTACCACCGGCGGATTTTCCGGATCGATACGACTTAGGGACCTTCAAGAAAAGAGCTTACACCTTTCTAAACGGCCGGCAACGCATCTGCAATTCCCCTGGTGTTGCGGTTGTTCATGGGCGGCGGTAGTCACTTACCATCAGGTGAGCCGCATGCTCGTTTGCCCCCTCTTCTATAATAAAAAAAAAACACAAAAATATTTTTTTAAATAATAAAATTAATCCCTTCCTCTCCTTACAGTTTCATTCCACTGCTGGTGATGAACCTTTACATCCTATAAAAACCCCCAATGAACATAGGCCTCCACTATATTCCTCATAGAGGGTATACTTGTCATAGTTGCCACGTTCTGTTCCACGGTACACGTACCTTGTTGTATTGAACAGTGGATCAGTCGCCTCTTACGAAACCCACGGAATAGTATGAATATTCATACACCGCCACTACACAGTAATTGATAATTTCTCGAAACATTTCATTTATCGACAAATCGTCTTGCAATCGTCGTCACTCTAGCGCTCACTTGACCTTCATATAAATAATTCGATATTTTAATTGTTGATAATTTTTTATTTTTGGATATGAACATAGTAATGACTCTAAGTTATTTTTACCATTTTTTTTAAAAAATCGTCTGGCCTGATACTATACTCTGTGGCTTGACCATAGTTCTAACTAAATATGTCCAATAAAATGTCAAGGTCTGAGAGGTTAAACAACTGTCAAGAAATAAATACTTATACATATAACGCATAAAGTTTACATTAAAAAAACAATAACTTTAAAATTTTAACACAATGACTGATAACGAAATCGATTGTCACGCTGATGATATCTCAATGGAAAATGAACAATGAATTATAATTTGAAACGCGCCGCCATTTTGTTTTCTTAATTGACAGCTCTGTGGCGCTATTTTTTATTTCACATTCTGAATTCATCATTCTGAGGAGGTGGAGGAAATGTATGAGGATATCTCTAGAGCCATGCATTCCTCCAAAACCCAATATACGGTGTTAATGGGAGATTTCAATGCAAAACTAGGCACAAGAGAGAACGGTGAGCTGAAATTAGGGAAATTTGGAATAGGGCAACGGAACCCAAGCCGCCAGCGGCTGGCCGACTTCATGGAGAAAGAGGGACTCTTTATGATGATCTCTTTCTTCCAGAAGCGGCCCCACAGGAAGTGGACCTGGTCGAGCCCCGACAGTTCGACAAAAATGAGATTGACTTCATTATGAAGACCAGACGACAACTGTTCAGTGATGTCTCCGTGATCCCGAGGGTGAAAACTGGTAGCGATCACCGAATGGTTAGAGGCACACTGAACCTAAACGTTAACTTGGAGAGGTCTCGTCTAATGAAGTCAACGCTCCGTCCCCCTTGTGCTCTGTTCCAAAGTCCCGAAACCTTTCAGCTCGAGTTACAAAACCATTTTCAGTGCCTAGAAGACTGCAATGAAGTGGACGATTTTTTTAAACATAATTTTTTATTTCATTTCCCCAGGGAATGTATTTGGAGACTGTTCCGTTCGAGCATTTTAATATTCCTCGGCTCCTTCGCCTTTCACCTGATGCGGAGTCCATGCCAACCTCTTCGTAGTCCTCCTCGAGAGCGGCCAAGTCCTCACGGGCGTCAGAGAACTCTCCCTCCTCCATACCTTCACCGACATACACGTGGACGAAGGCGCGCTTGGCGTACATGAGGTCAAACTTGTGGTCAAGACGCGCCCAGGCCTCGGCGATGGCAGTGGTGTTGGATAACATGCACACGGCACGCTGAACCTTGGCCAGGTCACCACCGGGCACCACAGATGGGGGCTGGTAGTTGATGCCAACCTTGAAACCAGTGAGACACCAGTCGACTAACTGGATTGTGCGCTTGGTCTTGATTGTGGCGATGGCTGCGTTCACGTCCTTAGGTACGACGTCACCACGGTACAACATGTAGCAAACCATGTATTTTCCGTGACGGGGGTCGCATTTCACCATCTGGTTGGCGGGCTCGAAGCATGCGTTAGTGATCTCAGCGACGGACAGCTGCTCGTGGTATGCCTTTTCAGCCGAGATGACAGGCGCGTAAGTGACGAGAGGGAAGTGGATACGTGGCTAGGGCACCAAGTTGGTCTGGAACTCTGTTAGGCCTCTGTTATGTCTCTATTACGTAGGTGAATGACAAGCTCGTGGAAACTGTCCATGCGGTCGGAGCTAAGTTCTGCAAGACCCGCTGCAGAAGAACACAAAAACTCTCCTATCACACTCTTAATCTCATGGCTGTTATACGGGAGATGAAGCTAAATTCTTCAACAGATTTGACAGCATACAGGCAACTGAACAGACAGATCTCCAAATGCATGCGGCGGGACTTACGCAACTTCAATACAGCTTATATTGAAGAAGCGATCGAGCGGAACCAAGGCTCCAAAGTTTTTGCCAGAGATCTGTGTGCCAGAAAGAGCCAACTGTCAAAGCTGAAGACTGAGTGTGGCAGCATCGTTTCCGGGACACCTGAGATTTTGAGTGAGATTGAGAGGTTCTATGGGCAGCTGTACACGTCATCGTTGGAGCCACACGCAAGTGTGAGTAACGATCCAAGAGCGAGTCTTATTCGACACTATTCCGAAGATATCCCGGACGTCAGTCTGAGCGAGATTAGAATGGCTCTCCAGCACCTTAAAAACGGCAAGACTCTGTCTGTCGGTATATCGAAGTGCTGAAGTGTTTGTACAGTAGAGCTACGATGGCTATCCGAGTACAGAACCAAAGTACGAAACCTATCCAATTGCAGAGAGGTGGAAGACAGGGTGATGTTATATCCCCGAAACTCTTCACCGCTGCATTGGAAGACGTTTTCAAGCTGGACTGGAAAGGATACAGTATTAACATCAATGGCGAGTACATCACTCACCTTCGATTTGCCGACGATATAGTCCTTATGGCAGAATCGCTGGAGGACCTAAGCACTATGCTCAATGACCTCAATAGTGTCTCCCAACGGATAGGTCTTAAGATGAACATGGACAAAACAAAGATTATGTTTAATGTCCATGTCACACCTATACCGGTAGTTGTTGGGAGCACTAAGCTCGAAGTTGTTGACGAGTATGTTTACCTGGGACAAATAGTCCGACTAGGTAAGTCCAACTTCGACCGAGAAGTCAATCGACGGATTCAACTCGGCTGGGCAGCGTTCGGGAAGCTACGACACATCTTCTCGTCAGACATACCTCAAAACCTTAAAACGAAATTGTACAACCAGTGCGTATTGCCAGTGATGACTTACGGAACTGAGACGTGGTCCTTCACTGCTGGCCGTATGAGGAAGCTCAAGGTCGCTCAGCGAGCTAAGGAGAGGGCTATGCTCGGAGTTTCTCTGCGTGATAAACTTAGGAATGAGGATATCCGCAGTAGAACCAGAGTAACCGACATAGCCCAACGGATTAGTAAGCTGAAGTGGCAGTGGGCCGGCCATATAGCTCGAAGAACCGACAACCGATGGGGAAGAAAGGTTCTCGAGTGGCAGCCTCGTACCGGTAGGCGAAGTGTAGGGCGACCCCCCACGAGATGGTGATTCAGGTGGCTCAGGACCGTGCTTTGTGGCATTCCTAGGGGGAGACCTATGTTCAGCAGTGGACTTATGAAAGGCTGTAATGATGATTGATGATGATGATTCTGAATTCGTAAGACATAGTATATTCTATGAAATTATAGGCCCAACTTCATAATATGTGAAATTATTTTATACTTTTAAGTTCTTCAAAGTCGACTTTTACTTTTATTAAAACTAATTTATTTACTAAGGAATACCGTTACCTCTATGTTGTCTAAATAGTTACATTATATAAACTTCATCCTCTATTTCACCATATAGGGGTGGAATGTTTTCTCTAAATTTATATTGGACTACACCAAGTATAAGAATCATCAAATACAGTTCACAATTGACTAATATATCGCGTAACATATTATTGTGAAATAACCGGTCAAATTTGCAGAGAAGGTTCAGAATAAGAACATAGGCAAATGGTGAAGAAAAACTTTTTTAAAAAAAAACCTCAAAAGTTCTGTCCTTTTTATCTTTTAAACTCATAATGCGTGGTAATGCATTATTTTACCTGATTGTCACATTCATAAATATCTAAAGTGTACTATTTTACAACGGGTAAAATCTCGGGTGTCTCACATTCGTAAGGGACGCTCGGTCGGCAGAAACTTTGTGAATGGGAGCATCCACGACTTTTTCTGCCACCAGGGCAGCGCCACTTTACAGTGAGGTACAATATTTGACAGATTTCACAGCGGGGACTATAATTTCTTAGGAAAATGTCATTTTTAAGGTTTCTCTTTCTTTCTGCATTATTAGTTATATTTTATATTAGTTACTTTAGAAATGAATAAACAAAACTATAAATATAACTAGAAGCAGATTTCTTTTTTAAGAAAAAGAGTTATAAAGTGCAAAAAATTAAAAATCAAACCACTGACGCATTGTGTTGTGTATTAATATAATACTTTAGGTAATGACAAACTATTATTTAAAACTAACTTTTAAATTAACTGACAGTGTGTAACAAAAAACTTTACCTCACTCACAACTAGCGACATCTGGTGAGCGGAAGATTATCAGCCTTCATTAAATCGCACACAGAGGAGACCGCGTACGCGTAGTTGTTGCTCATAAATAACAACATTAAATTTCGGATAATTTGAAATGAAAGTAGAAGCCTTATTTACTCGTATTTTCAAAAACTTCAATAACGGTATATCATTATTTATATATTTGAACTTAAGTTTAAAATTTGGCTATTCTAATAACCATGTATACAAAAAAAGAAAGTCAACTTGGCCGTACTGAGCAAACCCCCCCCCCTCTACTCCTCCCCGTAACTTGAAATCATGGTTCAGCCCTTGATACACCAGCTCGACTAACATAATTCAATCCCTATCACAGCAGTGGATGTACAACGGACACCAGGGCGGCAGAAATGGATAAGACAGTAATACTTACTATGGGCTCCTAAACATACATTATATTTAATATTTCCATCTTAATACATGCATTAGCAGTAGCGTGGGGGCTTAGCGCACGCTGTAAATTTCACAGCACGCGACCGATCCCCGCCGGCACCAATGAAATTGTTAATTGCAATTTTAAGTACTCTAAAAAGCTTGGCGTGCTCAGCAGAGCGGGACAGTATTTCATGCCGGCACACCGCCTGCAACTTTACAAGGCGCAGGTTCGGCCTCACATGGAATACTGTTCCCATCTCTGGGCAGGGGCTCCCCAGTGCCAGCTCCTTCCACTTGACCGCATCCAGCGCAGAGCGGTTCGAGTCGTCGACGACCGAGTTCTTTCCGATCGGCTTGACTCACTGGCACTGCGTAGAGATGTTGCATCTCTTTGCGTATTTTAGCGCATATACGAGGAGTGGAGGAATTATTCGAACTAATTCCAGCCGCTCAATTTCACCAACGCACATCGCGACAAAACTCGCGATACCACCCATACCATCTGGATGATTGGCGGTCCACCACTGTGCGATTTAGAAGAAGTTTTTTTCCTCGCACAACTTCCTTGTGGAATCGATTACCATCAGCGATTTTTCCGGACCGATACGACTTAGGGACCTTCAAGAAAAGAGCCTACTACTTTTTAAAAGGCCGGCAACGCATCTGCAATTCGCCTGTTGTTGCAGTTGTTCATGGGCGGCGGTAGTCACTTACCATCAGGTGAGCCGCATGCTCGTTTGCCCCCTCTCCTATAAAAAAGTGCTGATTTACCACGTGCTCGTGGGTGAAGGAAAACATCGTGAGCAATGAAAGAAACAATATTTCGAAGACGTGAATTTCGCCAACATGCATTGAGGCAGAGCGGTGGATACTTTCTTGTACTAAAACCCTCTCAGAAGTGAAAGGAGGCTTGTTCCCAGCAGTCGGACGTATATAGGCTGTAACTTTACTTTCATCTTAACTTTTACAGGTACAAATTACTTTGGCGGCAATCGACCCGGCATGTTGGACTACATGATATGGCCGTGGGTGGAGAGGCTCTACCTATTGCGATGTGTCAATGAGAGGAAGTTCGATGAGAAGCGATCATTATTTCCCAATTTCGTAAGTACACTGTATGGAGTGTAGAGTAGAAGGAGGACCATCTCTGTGTATGAAAAGTGTCCCTAAAAACGCGTCCAATAAGGGTGGCGCTGCAGTAACATAGGATAAATTAAAAAAAAAGCGCCAAAATTTATTAGAATAAGATGGAGAAATAAACAAGGACCGACCAATCCGCTTGGTTTTGTACTACGTAAATAGTTGAGGTTTTGTATACTGGCATTTTACTAACTACTCTAAGTCATGAAATTTTTTAAATATTTTAATTCAGCTGACTTCACTCCGTCTACACAACAGCTACATTATTCATATCGTAGTTTTTCAGACGCCAGCGCTATTGTGGTAGGTTTTGGAACCTCTATTTTCAGTATATATTGGGACACTTTTTCAACTTTCGCACCTTATAAGATGGTTCTCCTTCTACTCTACACTCCTTAGTACACTGTAAACCCTATTACGAACTCCTTTATAACGATAAACTATATCATAGATGTCAGTGGTCGTCTAGTGAATGAAATTCGACCGTAATACATTGTTTACGTTCATACTGTCAGTATGATTATTTGAATACTATATACTATTATTTGAGAGTGAATGTCAACTGGATAACATGCTTTTTTTAAACTGGCTTTACAGCTCTGGGTTCTAGCCCTTCTGAGTCTGAAGTTACAATATATATTTATCTTTAAAAACTGGATAATATTCCAAATACATCTCTCTAAGTAATCATTTGTCATTCACTCTGACGCAATACTAAGAGCTAGACATGTGTCATTCATTCATTTCTAGTGACCCGATCATTCAAGTATTGATTCGTCTTACGAACCCGGTCATTCGGGTCAATCATTCAAATGGATCAAAAAAGTTTCAGTACTCTCTGATCTGTGGGACCCGCTCAATAATGTCAGACGTTACTATACTCTGGTCGTAGGTCCTGTCAATCGTTTGATCCGGAACGTTCAAAAAATGTAATTGCAATCATCAATACTTTGATACGACCTGGGTCAAATGATCGAATCATTCACGACTGACCCATGTCTGCTAAGAGCTAGTGTGGGGAGGAAGAACGGCGCGAAAGTTCAGTTTGAATCCGTGAAGCAATCCGGTCGCATCACGAATACACGCTACGTTTTTGTTTAAGTATCTAGTGATTCAGCGATCCTAATAATTTTGTTATTAGATCCTGATTATATTTTTTGTAAAATACGTCGTTGATTCTCCTCGCCTAATCCCTTTCGCCCTAGTAAAATCGACTATGGATCTAACTGATATAGTGGACTATCCTGACGTCCCTTTAAACACATAATTGTCGCTTGTACAAATTGTCGTTGGTTGACTCTGAATCACTACGCAGACCTCTGTATTACTCCAGGCTCTAGATCCTACCTTGAAAATTAATCGTAGTTTTGGGCGCGTGGCTTATCCCGTCGTCGATGAACTCACAGACGACTGAGGGAGTGTCAAAATGAAAGTGATGCAATTACTTCATGTACGCAAATTATGAGGTAGCTATACCGAGCACGCGCCCGGAAATAAGCTAACTAAATAAACAACGCCTTATAACATTAAATGAAACTAATTTTTAAAGATTTTATCGCGTTTAATTTAACTTTTTGATTCCCGATGTTTCGGGTGCTTGACAGCACCCATGGGGGGGGGGAATGAGATGTATGACGTCCCGATGTCATAGTTAGCTACCTTTAGTTTTTGAATATTAATTTTTGGTCTGATCTACGCAGAATGAGCTTACAGTATCTTGAAACCTTGCAGTGGTGTGCTCGCAGCACCCATCCATCTTCTCTATTGAAATTAGGATGTTTTTTAATTTAAATAGCCTTGGCCTTCTGGTAGGAATCGGTGTTCTTTTGTGGTCGATAAACTCTAAAGTAATGGTAGGGACGATCGACGAAAAAAATTAGTTTCATTTAACGTGTAGTCTTCGGGTAAATATAAGAAATTATTACGCCAAATAACATTTTTTTAATAAATCTATATCGTTATGGATTACAAATGGTTTTTGTGAATTTAGATAATATGATTATTTACTATACTTAAAAAATAATTCCATAAACTAATTCGTAAAAATATTGTAGTGGCATAGAGATATGTACCTAAGTAGAAGCTACTTTGCAATTTAATTCTATCGAGAAAATTACATGTTCTCGTGTTCTCCTTTTACGAAATTCAAGATCATACAGTCAAAAACATATACTAATCTATAAAACTGAAAGAAATATGTGAAATAGAAAATTACACAAATTTTCATGGTATCATCACCTTAATACTCGCTGGTCAAACACTCACACAGAGTAGAGATTGTCGTCAAAGAATCTTAAAATGTTGCCAATTTATGTTTATACTTCCTCCTTTTTTCAATAGTATGTGTATGTATAAGATATCTGTGTTTTTTAAAAGTGAAATATAGTTAAAATTTTTAAAAACTGCGGTCGAATTTAGATCTATAATCGAACACTAAGAAATATAAATATATGCAGAAAATAAATTAATAAAATCCTTAAAAGTAGTTTCATTCACTGACATAGAATGCCTCATCAAAAATGGACTAACTCTTCATAACGACTTTTTTCAGGCTGATTGGGGTGATCAAATGCAACTGGATGAGGTGGTGAAGAAGCACGCAACCTCTCCTGCTGAATACTTCGATTATTACAAAAACGCCAGAGCGCATTCTATGGGCTACTATATTTAATATTAAAGATATTTCGGAACATCTGTAAATATACACATGTCTAAGCTGGGATGCACATATTTATCATATTCTTTAACAGTTAAATGTAAAGTTTTATTTGCCACTGGCAGTATTATTTATGATACTACCATTAGCAAGGAAAAAAATCAAATTATCAAGATGGCTAGCTAACCCTGAGACCAAAAAAGAATGATAGACATAACATACATTTGAAGTGCCGCCGTGCAAGTGCGGCTACGAATGGGTGATTTCTGGATCTCGACCACAACGCCACCTACCGTTCCAATTACAGCAAAGACTCATCCAAATGAATGAATGAGAATTACGAACACTTGTACACTGGAACTTCATGTACATAACTAAAAGTTCAATTGTTATTACGTAAGCAAACTTTGGGGGGGAGGAGTCCAATTTTTCTTGCTTTTGCGTCAATTTTTTATAAAGGGAGCGGGTAGAATAATAAAAATATTACGTAAGATTTTTAAAACATTATTATAATCTAAATGAATTTTTATTATTTTATTATGGTATACCGAATTTCTTTTCATATTTCTTACTAAAAATAAATAAATGACTTTTCCTAGAATTGACTATATTGTAATTTCCTCTACATTATGCCACATGAGTAAAGAAAAAATTCTTACGTCTTATCATTTGGAGTACGTAATATTTGAACGCCCCCATATGGGTGGGTTTTTGTCTATTTTCTTTGTTGGTCTGAGTTCTTAGAGCTTGTACAAAAGGTAGAACAAACTATACTGAAATAGCAATTTCAGATATGGCAATGTTTTATACTTATTGTTTATACACATGTTATTTTTTATAACAATTTATATTTACAGAAAAAGTGTTAAGCACTCGGTGTTTTCGAATCATAGGTATATCCAAACACTCAAACGTTATTCAATTTTAGGATGTCGTTAAGTCTCATTGTGTCACGTTCACTTTGACTTAAAGTGATAGAGACAGCAGAACGACTTAACAACATTTTAGAATTGAGGAGCGTTTTAGTATTTGGGCAGTAATCAGTAAGATTAAAAATTATTTTCGCGCTAATTATTTAACCAGTATTGCCAGCAGTAATGTCATTTTTGCAATTAATTCATTTAATTTCGTCATATTTTATAGAAAAGGATTAAGGACACTTAATGTTTTGTTTTATCACTTGCAAGTTGTTACTTTATGTGTTTATTCTAGCTTATCAAAATTTCACTGCTGAACATAGGCCTCCTCCATAGATTACTTCGTAGAAGCGATATTTGTTATAGTTGCAATCTTGACAGGCAGGTTGGCAACCGTAGTTTTTAATTATTTTGAGTCGTTATCCGGAAGATGCTGCTGCCAATCTCCTGTTGCTGCTGCCAACCTTCCATAGACTCTCACGACACCCACGGGACGATATGGGGAAGTGGATATTCTTACACCGCCACTGCATTGCGAATGGGCTGTTAGTGAAAGCCATTTAAACTTATAACAAATGAATATTTCTTATTATTATTTAACTTATTTGTTGCTCAAACCTAAAAACTTCTTGGAGTTCTTGAGCCGATTTGAATATTTATTGATTTTGGCGTCTGTAGTATGTTTTATGATTTTCTACACATATAAAAAAAATGTAGGACATATTTTAAATAATAATATTATTTTGGTATTTTCTCTACTGTCATATCAAAAATCAAAGAAATTTTAATTGTAATTTATTTACAAAGAAAGTAATCAAAAACATAAATAATTAGGAGAAAACAGTAAATTAATTACGCAGTATAAGACAATGAAAGAAATATTTATATGTATTTTACACTATAATATTTCTTTCATTTTATACCTCTTAGTAATCTGTGCTAATAAATAAAAAAGGCAAGAACGAAATCACTGGTTATTTATCTACATATTTATTTAAAAAAAAACAACATTATTTTATTATCTGCATAAAGTTGCTTTCCATTAATCATTTTCTTTATTAAGTTGTTTTTTTTTATATAATGGAACTCAAAATCTTCGCAATAACTTACTGTCGAAGTGTTTACGTTACCAATATTATTTAAGTTAAGAAATATATCTTTCAAACAATTGTAATTTTAGATTAAGCATTACTTTTAACTAAAACCACAAACATTTGTACACTTAAATAAAAAATGTTCACAATACATCTAATAAATAGATGTTAACACATTTTCCTGAAACTAATAATTTAAAAAAATACTTACCTACTTCCTTTTATAAAAACAATTTTTCAAGTATAGTTAAGTAGATAGGTATATTTAATTTTACTCAATCGCTGATTTATTTATTTAAATTAAGAAAATATCTCACAATATATCTCAAAGTAAAAATCTGTACAAACAATATGTCACCGAAATATTTAATTAAATTGTAGCACAGAAACAAAATTGTTTAACCAAATATGAATCCGTATTATTATTTACGCAAAAGGAATCCAACCCACATTTAGGTCAAAAAAAATTATAATATACCAAAATAATCATTATCATCTATTCCATTCTACACATATCATAATATATGATGATACATGTGACATATTATCAGTAAAACAATACTTACAAAAGTCGAACTAGATAAAAACCAAAATTCCAAAAAGAAATGAAACTGATGTTATCATTATTATAAATCCAAACTTCAAACTCATCTAAAAAATAGCTTATTGCGGGTTGGATCCCTTTTCAACAACTTTTCTTAGCACTTTAGCGCCCTCAACTTCTTAATCGATTAACATATCTCATTGTGCACAAACTACATAACTAGTAAAGTATCCAGTTTACTAATAAATAGTTTTTAAATATTTATGTATTTATATTTTAGTCCCTATTCCTTACGCTTTCAAGACAGCTAGCTTTGATTTATAATTATAGAGTTAGGAGCAAGGCGAACAATCTCAATGAGTCAATGGAACTAAAAAAGTGTTCATTAAAAACCATTAATTAAATAACGATTCATGAAAAGATCCGAGTGAAGGGTTTGAATTGAATTTAGCGTTTGCAAATTAAATAATTTTTTAAGTTTTAAACGAAGAGTATTTTTGTTTTGCTACTTGTCAGCATAAAAATTTCTATGACTACAGTAGCTGACAAAATACCGTAAATTAATGGTGGATCACTCAAGTATTTAAGTAAATATTTACTGGACAAATTAAATTCATAAATTAACAAATTTAAGGAACTCATTTACTTTGTTTAAGACGTACAACACGGTCGTTTCGTTGGTAATATTTGATATATTCCAAGATATTATATAATATCTTTAGATTTATTATATTAAGTTCTTACTATAATGTTCGATCAGTATAAGTACAGAGTAATTTTTAAAAATAGACGTCACATTACTTGTTTAATTTTTCATTGAAAGACATAATTGTACCATGTATGTAAATTGTCATTTCAATGCATTGTGCACTGTGCGTCACACGCCATTAAATACATAAATTCATCAACAAAAATACTACGCAATAGGAGGTTGAGGTGGTTAAGACCACGTTGTATTCTAAGATGTCTATATTATATAATATTATAAATGAGTATGTACTAACGAACATTGTTAGATAAGAAGAAAAAATTGCTTACGTATTTGCTATTTAAATAACAATTTTGGTTTAATATATATGGCATAGTTAACACAAAAGTACTTAAAATATTTTCGTTTTAAGATCATATTATATGGATTTTATATGTTATACATTATCTGCTTAATTAAAAAGAGTCGAAGGTTATTTGCATTTATTTACAGTAAAAATATGGCGTGAAATTTCATCGCTGAGACAGAATCTTAAGATTTTTTTTAGTTTTTATTTATTGTTATATTCAAACAAAAGTGCAAACTTGTGATTGTTTACAAATTAATCGAAATATATATTGTATAACAAATATTTTGTTTTCATTGTTCTATAGATATTTTTCCACGTTTTTCTTAATCAAACTATTACACTAAAGCTGCCAGTGATAAAAATAAATGGTTTTCAAGGAAGATGCAATTTAGTAATACTAACTATATAACCTTTTGAGTACTTAATAAATTATATACCTAATAAAATTAAGTAAAATATATTTAAACTCGTAAATGATCTACTTTATTCTGGTTTTTAAAGTATGATGAAGAAGTACAGACCTTAATAAACTCCATAACGAGATTGGAGCAGAGCCCGTCATGCGTTTCCCGTCATTGATATAAATATAAACGGGAAGATACGGTTACGGTTTTTTTTTAAATATAGGATAAGTCATCCTTATCTCGTAACCGAGCACACAGTCAACCTGATGGTAACCGATTATGAATCAAAATGCAGATGCGTCGTCACCCGTGAGGACTAAGACGGAATGCCTCGGTTCCAGTAAAAAAGGTCTCCGGTTCTCTACACTCACCATACGAAACAGCACCGTTAAAACTGCTATTTTACGCTGGTGTTCTGTGAGAGCGTAGTCATTCCCCGGGCGAGCTGACTCATTCGTGCTACAACTATACCACTAATATAGCTGCATCATGGCTCTATCACGTAAAAAACCGGTAAACTCGAATATATTATAATCGAAAACTGAACGTACTAATTACCATAAGACAGCACAAGGCACTATAGTCGTGGTGTTTAAATTGGTTTGTAATACATTACTATGTGTTATTTCTGAAAGGTTTTATTGGTACAAGAATATTTATGGTATATAAATGTTTAAATTACTATTTCGCATTTAGTTATAATAAACAGATACCGAAATATTAAGTTTATTTTATTTATCATCAAACAAACTTCAGCAGCTTCTTGCCCCTACTGGAAGCATAAAGTGAGATGGCCTCTAATGGATGTTCTTAATCTCTATCTATCAAACTTGGTGATAGGCGTGACATCTTGTGTACATGTATTTTTTGCATATCATCATCAGACTGCGACCTGCGAGTAGGCCTCTTCCAATGCGTTCCACTTACTTTTTCGGCTTCACGCATCCAGTTACTGTCAGCCGCATACTGCACCAGCGTTGTTCCTGACAAATTTAGAGTTGCCGTATCCTAATCCTAAAATTGCCGGATTTTTAGGGAAAACTAAGAAAAATGCCGTATTGTACAAAATATTTACATATTTATAAGGATAAAATTAAAAAAAAACGATGAAATGTTGTTTACATAATAAATGTGTACTATAGTTGGACTACTATTCCGAAGATATCCCGGACGTCAGTCTGAGCGAGATTAGAATGGCTCTCCAGCACCTTAAAAACGGTAAGGCCCCAGGCGAGGATGGAATTACAGCGGAGCTTCTGAAAGCGGGTGGAAGACCGGTACTTGAAGTCCTTCAGAAGCTCTTTAATTCCGTCCTCCATGGTGGCATTACACCGGAGGCGTGGAGCAGAAGTGCGGTGGTCTTGTTCTTCAAGAAAGGTGACAACGCTCTCTTGAAGAACTACAGACCGATTTCCCTTCTGAGCCGCGTCTACGTGCTGTTTTCGAGAGTCATTACGAATCGTCTCGCGCGCAGACTTGACGACTTCCAGCCTCCCGAACAAGCCGGTTTCCGAAAGGGCTTTAGCACCATAGACCACATACATACCCTTCGGCAAATTGTACAGAAGTCCGAAGAGTACAATTTGCCACTATGTCTGGCGTATGTGGACTATGAGAAAGCCTTTGATTCCGTCGAAATTTGGGCGGTGCTGCAGTCCCTTCAGCGGTGCCAAGTTGACTGTCGGTATATCGAAGTGTTGAAGTGCTTGTACAGTAGGGCTACGATGGCTATCCGAGTACAGAACCAGAGTACGAAACCTATCCAATTGCAGAGAGGTGTAAGACAGGGTGACGTCATATCCCCGAAACTCTTCACCGCTGCATTGGAAGACGTTTTCAAGCTTCTGGACTGGAAAGGATACGGTATCAACATCAATGGCGAGTACATCACTCACCTTCGATTTGCCGACGATATAGTCCTTATGGCAGAATCGCTGGAGGACCTAAGCACGATGCTCAATGACCTCGATAGTGTTTCCCAACGGATAGGTCTTAAGATGAATATGGATAAAACAAAGATCATGTTCAATGTCCATGTCACACCTATGCCGGTAGTTGTTGGGAGCACTAAGCTCGAAGTTGTTGACGAGTATGTTTACCTGGGACAAATAGTCCGACTAGGTAAGTCCAACTTCGACCGAGAGGTCAATCGACGGATTCAACTCGGCTGGGCAGCGTTCGGGAAGCTACGACACATCTTCTCGTCAGACATACCTCAAAACCTGAAAACGAAATTTTACAACCAGTGCGTGTTGCCAGTGATGACTTATGGAACTGAGACGTGGTCCTTCACTGCTGGCCGTATGAGGAAGCTCAAGGTCGCTCAGCGAGCTATGGAGAGGGCTATGCTCGGAGTTTCTCTGCGTGATAAACTTAGGAATGAGGATATCCGCAGTAGAACCAGAGTAACCGACATAGCCCAACGGATTAGTAAGCTGAAGTGGCAGTGGGCCGGCCATATAGCTCGAAGAACCGACAACCGATGGGGAAGAAAGGTTCTCGAGTGGCAGCCTCGTACCGGTAGGCGAAGTGTAGGGCGTCCCCCCACGAGATGGAGTGACGACCTGGTAAGACATGCAGGAAGTCGATGGATGCAGGTGGCTCAGGACCGTGCTTTGTGGCATTCTTTGGGGGAGGCCTATGTTCAGCAGTGGACTTGTGAAGGGCTGTAATGATGATGATGATGATGATAGTTGGACTAATTTTTTTTTAATATAGGTTTTGAATAGTTTCCAGTACTTCTGATTCTGTCGCATTTAGGTCCTCCTTTTTTTATCTTTCATTTTACGTATAATTTCGTTTGGCACTTGAAAATTTGTACAATTACCGTGATTACGGATTGCTTGTCCTGGCTAGAAGAGTTCCATTAATAGTTGAAGTTATTAATTTATTTCGAAGTCTCGTTTTCATATTATTTACTTCACTGAAGATACGCTCGCAATCTGCGTTTGAGTATGGCAGACATAAAACATTTAAAGCAAAAGATGCTAATGTTTTTAGTTCTGTTCCATCACGGATTTTAATCCAAAACTCATCGGTTTTCTGTGAGCTAATTTCATATAATGGTAATTTATTTACCACTGGTAGCATTCTCCATTCATCATCAATTTTTTGGAAATCGTCGGCATTATTGACGATTCGTGGCAACTTTTGCATAAGCGGTAAAATGGATGGATAAACATTTATTGTTTGATTACTAGCTGCTTCTTCAGGTGATAAATATTTTAAAAGTTGAAGTAAATCGTCAGAGAAGTTGTATATTTTTTTAATTTCTTTGCAGCCTGTGATGAGGAAATCTCTGCAGCGAGAGTAAAACTCTTTTAATTCTTCTTATTTTGCTTTCTATCATAATTTTTACCCCCAAATACATTTCTGGTAGGAAATATGGCGTATCTTCTGGGACGCTTGAGCGGATATCATTTTGTTAGCTTTAACTAATAGATCGTACATAAAGCATAACAAAGCATTAAATGACAGAACCAAAATAGGTACAGCACAGTAACAATTATTCTGGGGAATCCCCACATATTCTAGAACCTACCCGAGTAAAGGTGAAGAACTTACTAGAATGAGGAACTAAAGATTTTAGACATTAAATTCTTAGTCAAATACCGTATATTTTAATACGGTAATTAAATAGCTGCCGTATACCGTATTTTTGTTGCCTAAGATACCTGAATGCCGTATATTACGGCAATTGCCGTATCAAGAACAACGCTGTACTGCACATCGTCACTTCCTCTAGACAGATGGCGTCCCACTCTGCGTTTACTAAGTGCCACAGACCAATACGATGCTTACGCATCTAAGTGCAATCTATACTCTATGACATGACTACTCCAATGATTATCGTTACTGCGACAGATGTGACCAGCTCATTGCCATTTGCCACTTAAGGTTTCAAATACGGAAGGCTATGTCGGTGACCTTGGTTTTCCGGCAGATTTCCTTGTTTTAAATCTTATCCACCAGAGAAAATCTGAGAATACCATAGTTGTGTATCGCCAGCAACGCAAAATCAGGAATTCGCATTTAGAGAAACCCAAAATTAGGGGTTTTTTAGTTGCTAATTAGGTGCCAAGTTTAAAAATTAGGTGCTCTAAAATTTTCACCGCAAGGAACGATTGAAATTTGCATTGCTAGCAAAAGGTTTCGCTAGCAACGCAATAAAGTTATTAGATATACCATAAATATTAAAAACAAGGAATTAAGTGCTAATTAGGTGCTGCAAGTATGCACAATGACAAGGCGCTCTTAATAAAAATAAAGTCGTTATTCAGAACAAAGCAGATGCAAAATTCAGGTTTTCTGAAAATCAGAAAAGAATCAAAAATACTTTTAGAAAAAGCCCAAATTAGGGGCTTTTTAGGTGCTAATTAAGTACCAAGTTTAAAAATTAGGTGCTCTAAAATTTTCACCGCAACGATTGATTGAAATTTGCGTTCCTGGCCAAACGTATCGCTAGCAACGCAATTACGTTATTAGATATATGATAAATATTAACAGCTAGGAATTAAGTGCTGAGTGATTATCTAAACCCGATACAGATTAAGATATTATTCTGGGAATTATGGGGTCCACGACCACCATTACCTTACCATTATGTATGAACGGTATTTTTTGTTCTTCACCATTGTCCAAAAATTAAGTGCTAATTAGGTAGCTTGCTACATATATATTTATCTATGCTAATTAGGTGCTGAAAGATTATTGAGGTCGCATGTAGATGACGGTAATATTCTGGAAATTATCGGATTTAAAACCACCATTACCTTACAATAAGGTATGAACCACATTTTTTGTTTTTCAGATTTAATATGATTATAATTATTTGAAAATAGTTGAAAAATGGTTGAAAATTATATTAAATAATATTATAAATCTATAATGTTATTTTATATAATTTTCAACCAAATAAATGTTACAATTCTTATTTTTAGACATGTGAAGCGTAAACTAAAACTAAATCGAAAGGATATTTTCTTTCCAGTAATTTGCTTTGTAATAAATATTGCCATCTGCAAAGTTCTATAGTTCTAGTCATTTTATCGAATCAAAATGGATGGACTCTCAAGGTGGTAAGTACGATAGACGCTAGATGGCACAAACACAAAGACCTTATTTTTGCATTTGCTTTGCCGAGTAATTTTCTAAATAACGACTTTATTTTTATCTGGGGCGCCTTTTCATTGCCTATACCTGCAGCACCTAATTAGCACTTAATTCCTTGCTATTAATATTTACCGTATTATCTAATAAATTCATTGCGTTGCTAGCGATACGTTTTACCAGCAACGCAGTTTCAACTGTACGTTGCGGTGAAAATTTTAAAACACCTAATTTTTAGACTTGGCACCTAATTAGCACTTAATTTTTAGACACTGATAAAGAACATAAAATGCCGTTCATACCTTATGATAAGGTAATGCAGGTCATGGACCCTATAATTCCCAGAATAATATCTTAATGTGTATCGGGTTTCGATAATCACTAAGCACTTAATTAGCGCTTAATTCCTTGCTATTAATATTTATTGTATATCTAATAACTTCATTGCGTTGCCAGCGATACGTTTTGCCAGCAATGCAAATTTCAACAGTTCATTGCGGTTAAAATTTTGGAGCAACTAATTTTTAAACTTGGTACTTAATTAGCACCTAAAAAGCCCCTAATTTGGACTTTTTCTGAAAGCAATTTTGATTCTATTTTGATTTTCAGGAAATCTGAATTTTGCATCTGCTATGTTCTGAATTACGACTTTATTTTTATTAGGGCGCCTTGTTATTTCGTATACTTGCAGCACCTAATTAGCACTTAATTCCTTGCTATTAATATTTATCGTATATCTAATAACTTCATTGCGTTGCTAGCGAGACGTTTTGCCAGCAACGCAAATTTCAACAGTTCGTTGCGGTGAAAATTTTAGAGCACCTAATTTTTAAACTTGGCACCTAAATAGAACCTAAAAAGCCCCTAATTTTGGATTTTTCCAAATGCAAATTCCCGACTTTGCGTTGCTGGCGAGACACAACTGAATACCATCGCTTGAGGGTGACTTTGACTTTTTTTGCATATGTAGTGTGTAAATATTAAAAATAAGGCCCTCTTCGTATTTCTCTATATTTTCTCTAACGACACCCACGGAATTAGATGTTGATGGTGGACGGAGGTTATGAGGTTATGATTTCTTTGATGACACCTTCACGCAACCATACAAGTTTTCGTCTTTCAATTTCAAATGCTGTTAATAATAAAATATAGTGTTACGACAGCCATTCGCGTGTTGCATCACGTTAGATGAAAACCACAAACTAATAAGAAGTGCACATGTGCACGTTTCCGAAGATAAAGGTCAATGGTCTCTGTGAAGTTAATAAGATGTGTAAGCATAAGAACATACAACGCTCAAACTATTTATGCAAGCAAAACAATACCTTATGTCTACGTATAAAATGCCTTTTTCATTTGGACATATTGTTAATCGCGAATGGTAACTATAAAATAGTACCTTCCCTTCCCATTGAAAGGCTGGATTGACCTAGAATGATTTACATTAATCTTATTGGGTATAAAAGCGTGCGCCGGCGATCGGAGAATCAATTAATTCGGGAACGCAAATATTAAATCTGCTTCGGGAAGCGACTATGAGCAATACCTACGACATCTGTGATTATTAAGGACCTCATCGTAGAAGCTTTACAACGTGATTGTGCACCTGCTGTTTGTGTATGTGTGTGGAAGAATATATCCATTTATCATCTAAATGGACGTTTTTACTCACTTTTACTCACCCCGCACGTAATAAGATATATTTCTTTCTATATTAGCCGATATAAATCCACTGCTGGACATAGTTCTTCTCCCGTTGAAGGAGAGATTTTCGAACGTTACGTTCGCCAAATGGGTTGAGGAAAGCAAGAGCCCGCAAATATTATATTATATACTAGATGGCCAGGCAGACGCTGTTCTGCCATTTACGACGACCTTTCATATAAAAAAAACCTTAAATTCGTAATAAATAAATATTGAGTGTCACTTAACAGGATAAAAACTATCCTATCTCTCAAGCTGGACCAAACTGTACACAGTGTGCAAATTTAATTGAAATCAGTTCAGTAGTTTAGGAGTCATCGCGGACATTAATGTGACACGTAATTTTTATATATAAAGACTAGGAAGCGTCTGGCGTAAACATTTGAACTTTTGTTAGACAAAAATAGTGCGATTGGCCATCTAGGGCTTCATCACAACATACATGTACTGGCTTATCCTAAGTTATACCGTCATATATTGGAACCTAAGAGTTCTTTCTGATATTTTCCGTCTCTCTCTCTCTCTCTGAGCCAAATGAAAGATAAAAAAATTATGCTTTTTTGACATTTGAAAGGGACAATTTTATCCTAGTTCAATGGTCGTGGGTTTAAGTTTATATTCATACAAAAATCTATCTAAGTCTATCTCCCATTTTATCTACTGTGGATATTATATCCGCCGTTGTGCCCATGCTCGAAGAATGGATAAAACTAAACGAAGGGATAAACATTTTCTCCTTTCCCCGGGGATAAAATTGTCTCCTGCACATCTAGCCCTGCTGAGGCCTAAGACTGAATGCCAGAATGCCTCGTAACCCGTAAGCGTCTCCGATACTTTACAATCACCATACAAAACACATCAGCATTATTCAGCTGTTTCACGTTGGTAATTTGTGAGAGATCGAATAGTTTTATTGATTCACTTTTAGGTATTTTTAAGATGCACATAAGACATAGAGAATCTATGATTGCCTATATAATTTTTGCATGCTGATCAATTCATGTTGATCAACAAAAGTCTGTTACATGCGATGTCAATATCGCTGCGACGCAACGGTGACTGCGGAAAATTACTTTCACAGCGTAAATTAGACTTTATCACTATATAGAAAGTAACTATTGTATGATGGTAAGAGAAAATAAAATTTATTTTGTAAAGGAAACTTTACACACGTCCTAGTTCGATAAGTTTTGATTATTGTATTTACTTCTATACGCTTTAGATGAAGCCTCTCAATGAATAGAAAGAAATTAAACTCCAACTTCAAAATTAAAACAATGTAATATACCTACGTATGTACAGTGATATACTTAGAATTAGAATATACTGGCGTAATATTCGAAGTCTATGCAGAAACCAAACGTAAAGTAAACGTTTAGAAACCATAATGCTATATCTATATTAAACATTTTGTGACTGATTTGACAGCGTGATAAAATAATGGGTATTTCCGAATACATCTCCTTTGTCATTTCCACAAACTATATAGAAACACTACGCGTTGTCATTTCTCATTCTCATCATAGATAATATACTATTTCTCATTCTCAGTTCTCACTATGTTTCAAACGTAACTCGTATATATTATTTATTTTATATTTTCTAAGTTTCTAACAAAATCTTTTAATCACAATGCCTCTTATTCGTTCTGCTAGCTTAAATTTATTTGTGGAAATCATTATTCGTATCGGCTTACTATCTTTATTCTGGTAAGAAACAAACCATATGCTGTACATTATTTCCTTATGTTTTTCGTATTTACCAATTAATTTCTCAAATAAGATTTACCGATATAAAAGTAATAACATTGCGAATTGATTCATAGTATACTGAGTATATTTATTTTAGACAATGTTTCAATAAGACAAGTTTGGTTGTAAAATTTTAGTTACACTATTTTTATTTCAGAAAAATATTTCAAGGTGCTATTGTAATTTAACACATTTGATGGAAGGCCATGTGTACGCTCGTATAGGGTTAAAATTTCCAATATGGACCATCGATTTAAATGGCCATATTTTTTTGTAGATAGTACTCACTAAAAGAAAGCGTTTTGCAAAGTTTCAATATGCGGAAACGCTTACTTTTTGAGAAAAAAATTATTGAATATCAATTATTTTTGCAAATTTATGTCAATTCCTACAGTAAAATTGATGCTATTTTGTATTGTCATTGTCATCGTCAGTAGCGATGTCGATTCTTTCCGAAAAAGATAGATTTTATAAAGCGATTCGAATCGGAAGCTGATGTATCGATTCACAAAAAAATTGATTTCTAAAATTTCAATATTTTTTCATGTTTGCATTTATAATGGAAATATAAATCCATTTTATGAGAACAAAATCCCCTTCATCAGACGTAAAATAGGGGGACTGATTAAAAGGGGTTTCTGTATCTATTTTGAGACTGCAACGTCTCCGGTGCTGCGGGAAGAGCAGCCTCTACGCCTTTGCGTAACAAATCGCAGGCATCCCTCCTCGCCTCCGCAGCTTCGGCTTGTTCGTTGCCTTCGGCGACCAGCCTCAGCCGCTCTGGCTCGTCCAATGTCTACGATTTGTTACAGCAGGCAGAGGCTACTCCCCCTACGCGCCTCCGGCTCTATATAACCACTCTAGGGGTAGGACGGACTCGTACCAGGTGGAGTCGGGGTCAATCAATTCGATTCTTTGACTTAAGTTGAACCTCACCTATTTTATTTGTTATCTGCCCTAATAAAAATAAATAAATAAAAATTAAAGAAATTTCAGTAAGAGATTATTTACTATGGTATCTTTCTGGTTTTTCATAAAATGGATTTATATTTACATTATAAATGCAAACATGAAAAAATATCGATATTTTATAAATAGATGTTTTTGAGAATCGATACATCAGCTTGCGATTCAAATCGATTTTAAAATCGATATTTTTTGGAAAGAATCGTCATCCCTACCGACGATGACAATGACAATACAAAATAGTGTCAGTTTTACCATAGGAATTGACATAAATATTGCAAAAATAATTGATATACAATAATTTTTTTCTCAAAAAGTACGTGTTTCCACGTATTGATACTTTGCAAAACGCTTTCTTTTAGTGAGTACTATCTACAAAAAAATATGGGCATTTAAATCGATGGTTCATATTGGAAAGTTTATCCTCGTATAGTTTTGGGTGATAAATTGACTGTATTTGCGTTGCTAATTTAAAGCTATACCTCTAAAATAAGAAGGTGAAAGTAATGTGATATTTTAAGATCTAGTTTGAACTATGATCACCATGTAGTGTTATTGTTTATTTTTATTTGTAACTTATATACCTAGTTATGTTTCAAGGGTGGTGCTGAAGGTTTTTAAAAATTACAATTATATCTCAATGACATTTATTAACTAGTTCATTACAAAAGCTTGAACTAAAAGTGAAATACTGAAATCGTAAATCTTTATTTACGAGAATCACAGTATAATAAAATGTTACAATTAATTATTAATTGAATTCTTTAACTAGGTGAATATATTACTATGTTACTATGATGAGGACTACAATGAATATAATTCTATATACAATGGCATTCAAGGTCGCTAAAGGAGTCTCTTTACTGAAAATATGATACCTTGCTTTGACCTACAATTACAACAGCTTAAAATTGTTTCTTCCAGTTATATGGAGACAATGCCCCCATTTGTCAGAGTCATACTGCCTTCAGAACTGGAATCTGACTGCAAGTATCCGAGAAGGGAGTCTTATGTACCCGGTGGGGCCTTGTGGGCTATAGTACTGTCTGTACCTTGCCTCTTGTCTTTACTTGCTTGGGGGGCTTGTAATGACTGCAATGATGCATTTGAGGTAAAACATATTGCTTCATTTACTATTGCTTGAGTTTTCTTTCATTCCACTTATTAAGAGGCTAAATCAGCAACATGATTGATTATCAACCAAATCAACAATTAATCACAGCATAATACTCCTGTGTTTTGTATGATGAGTGTAGAGAACCGGAGACCCTTTTTACTGGAAATGAGGCTTTCCATCTCAGTCCTCAGGGGTGACAACATTCTGCATTTTGATTCTTAATCGAAGATAAATGTAGAATGTCTATGGGCCACAGCATCCAGTTACCATCAGGTGGACTGTGTGCTTGTTTTTCACACTTATTCTATATAAAAAAAATAATTCATAAAATAAGTGTGACAAACGGGCTCAGTCCATCTGATGATAAGTGCTACGAAACTATAGTCCATCCATCCATCTAGAAAAATCATTTCTGAGTAACCCCTGAGGTTGACGATGTCTCGGTGGTGTTCCCGAGATATTGAGACAGCACTGCAAGTGTGCTGGGTTCAGAAGGCTGCCCCCGGGATGTGCTTTAATACAGCAAAACGAAAGAGGAGGGCCCCAGTTGCGTCCCCAACGGAGATCCCATCCATATAAATTCATCAATTTCCCTCCATCCATCTATAGAGAAGCCTATAAAAGTCTGACATAGGGTTCTTCATCTATTGCCTATTGGATTTGCCATAGGTGCCATGCTTCGGATCCGTTGAGCTGGCCGCCGTGACCAAAATTTGTATGATGAATTGGGTTAAACTATAAGGACAATAAAAAATTTTTTTTCTTTGTACTAGCAACAGAAACTATTTGTGTGGACTTTCAATTTTATTAATTACAAGGAATTTTTTTTCCCTAGTTTGGCAACTTCCAATGGATTCTGCCAGCGTCAAGTATTTCATGAAAGTGGCACAGTATATCCAACTGGTTTCCGTTTCCGTAGATATGCTTATTTAACGCTATGTTACGAAGTTACTTAGGTAGTTATTTTAGAATGATTTAACATAATTATATATTTTTACAAAATTATAGCTAATATATAATAAAATGGATATAGGTAAGTGGCAAAAGTACTATCATTATCATTACAGCCCTTCACAAGTCCACTGCTGAACATAGGCCTCCCCCAAGGAATGCCACAAAGCACGATCCTGAGCCACTTGCATCTATCGACTTCCTGCATGTCTTACCAGGTCGTCGCTCCATCTAGTGGTGGGACGCCCTACAATTCATCTGCCGGTACGAGGCTGCCACTAGAGAACCTTTCTTCCCCATCAGTTGTTGGTTCTTTGAGTTACATGGCTGGCCCATTGCCACTTTAGCATACTAATTCTTTGGGCTATGTCGGTTACTCTGGTTCTACTGTGGATATCCTAGAAATGCCAAGCATAGCCCTCCATAGCCATAGCTCGCTAAGCGACATTGAGCTCCCTCATACGGCCAGCAGTGAAGGACCATATCTCAAATCCGTAGGTCATCACTGGCAACACGCACTGGTTGTACAATCTAGTTTTGAGGTATGTCTGAGGAGAAGATGTGTCAGAATCTCCCGAACGCTGCCTAGCAGAGTTGAATCCGTCGATTGACCTTTATACGTTAACGTTATTAATGGATATGAAGTCTGATAAAGTCTGTGCAAAAGGAGTTTAAACTAAATTTAACAAAGACTTAAGATTTATAGAACGAGAGATGTTATAACAAGAAATTTTAATTTTTTTAGAAAATTTGAAACGTTTCACTGTTATTTAAAATTGACACATCTTCAAACAATTGATATGGCTGTTTCCGTTTATTTTAAATATTTGTTAGGATTGAATAAGAAAATGCAACAAAGTTAAACACAGACCTATTTAACTACCTGTTTTTCCATAAATAAAATAATTATTGTTCTGTCTGTGATGTGATTCTTATGAGATGTGTCTCGTATCATTAACATCAAATAGATTGCATTGTTGTATTATTTGCATATGTCTACATAACACATACTCAACATTTCTATTGTTATCTTTTATCTTATTTTACTAATGTATGAATGACGGATGACAAACAATCTTTGCATTGATTCATCGGCTTGTTCTGAAATCGTTATTTCTCACTACTGGTGTAGTTTGTGAATTTCCCACCTTAATATAGCCTTGTCTTTCTGCTTTTCATTTTCTTGTTTATTTTACTTATTTTATTGATGATTTATTTTCTCTCTCCAAGTTGTTTGGATAAAATATAACCAAGATCCCTCTCCTGGTGTTGCTCTCATCTGTTCGTAAAGTTTCATCATAATCAGTTCGGATTAGTCCGAACAGATAGACAGACAAAAATTTTAAAAATGGTTATTTAGTTTTTAGTAGCATGCAAATACATCCCTGAGCTTCTTAACAGAAGCCGGTTATCTGCTCACTCTAGAGGTAGACAGGGAGAGAATATCTCGTAGCGATAAATCCAACTTTTGTACATTGTGTACAAACAAAGTTCAAAGAAATAAATAGGTTTCGAGAGATTGACTAAGAGAAAACGCCTAGATAATTCTGTAGCATCAAACTTAGTGAAATATGGAGCGAAAGAAATTTGCAAACTTTTCACTGATGAATCCACCAATAAATCTGACAACTGATTGATATGCTCATCCAAGAATTATCATCATCATCATTATAGCCTTTCACAAGTGCACTGCTGAACATAGGCCTCCCCCAAGGAATGCCACAAAGCACGGTCCTGAGCCACCGGCAACCATCGACTTCCTGCATGTCTTACCAGGTTGTCACTCCATCTAGTGGGGAGTCGCCCTACACTTCGCCTACCGGTACGAGGCTGCCACTCGAGAACCTTTCTTCCCCATTGGTTGTCGGTTCTTCGAGCTATATGGCCAGTCCACTGCCACTTCAGCTTACTAATCCGTTGGGCTATGTCGGTTACTCTGGTTCTACTGCGGATATCCTCATATCTAAGAAACCCCGAGCATAGCCCTCTCCATAGCTCGCTGAGCGAACTTGAGCATCCTCATACGGCCAGCAGTGAAGGGCCACGTCCAATATACCATACCTAAATTCAGCCTGCCCAGAGTGTTAAGTTTAGCCTTCGGATTGGCAGCAGCATCTTCCTGATAACATCTCAAATAATAAAAAAAATGTGGTTTCCGTCCCGCCTTCCACTCGTGGCAGCTTTTTTATAGAATAAGGGTGACAAACGGGCACACAGTCTACCTGATGGTAAGTGGATGTTGTTACTAATAGGTATCTACATTTATCCCCGATTAAGAATTCAGATGCGTCATCACCCCTGAACGCTAAGATGGAATGCTTTGTTTGCAGTAAAACAGGTCTCCGGTTCTCTACACTCACTACACGAAACAGCAGCATTAAGCTGCTATTTCACGCTGTTATTCAGTGAGAGTGTGGTCCTACCCCAGTCAAGTCTACCCTTGCGTGCTACAACCATAATATAGGTGCAGCGTGGCTCTACCACGTAAAAAAAGAGTGGTCATTGTTCTTTGACAAACACGTTTTTTTATATTAAGTATCATTAAATTACAGATTCTACTCTCATGGTCCCTCGCACTTGGCATCAATGGTGTCATAACAGATACAATGAAGTTAATAGTTGGTGAGTTTGTAGTATATTATTAAACTGCCCAGCTTAATGTAAAATCAGTCCGGTAGTTAGACATAAATTATTGTGGGTGCTGACGATTCATTTCTTACAAGCAAACATTATTAGACCGACAAAAAAAATATATGAAACAAAATAAAAAGCGAAGTAAAAAATTACTAGTAAGAAATAATTAGGCTAGTTTTATGTAAAAGTTCCAAATCCATAATGTCACGATGCTTGGAATTAAATTAAATTATATTATATTAAATTTGGATTAAATTTTTCTACCGACTTAAAAAAGGAGACGGTACTCAATTCGCCTATGTTTTTTTATGTGTGTTACCTCATAACTTTTTTCTGGCTGAACCGATTTCGATGATACTTTTTTTATTTGAAAGCTGGTGCTTCACATGTGGTCCCATATAAATTTGATCAAGGTCTGACCAGTAGTTTTTGAGTTATTCTTAATAATTTATATTGAAGGCGGTTGTACAAAATTTTTAATTTTAAATTATTACTGGTCAGGGCGACCGCGTCCTGATTTCTTCTACCGTTGTTTCCCCGACGGCGTGGAGACCGCCGATCTTCAGTGCACGGGGGATCCGATGGACGTAATGGAGGGACGCAAGTCTTTCCCCAGCGGGCACAGTAGTTGTGAGTATGGACTGTTATAACAATTTGAAAAGAGAGTGACAAAGCATGAATATATTGCAGAAGTGAACGGGAGAGTCGGCAAGGGACGCCCTAGACGAAAGTTGATCGACCAAATTGGCGATGATGGTCCAGATTAAAAGTACCTTTAAACGACGAGCATGTATGCGTAGGTATATGGATGTGGAGGTAGCCAGAGAGGTGTGTCGAATCGTGCCAAATGGAAGTCCGTAGACTGCCTACCCCTTTGGGTGACAGGCGTGAGCGTTTGGTTTATGATAGGCACAGGTCTCTGCTTATTTTTGGGGGGGGGGGATATCCGCACTTTTTTCGGATTTCACAATTTTGATCCATCCACGGCTGATCATAGAGGCATTCCATCTTAGTCCTCAGGGATGACTGTGGAAAAATGGAGTGCTATACGTATTATTTATGTAGGAACGGAACGTAAATAGTAGGAGAGAGAGGGGAGATGTGTGTGAGCTAGTGGCAAGAGAGAGGATTGATGTGATGTGATACAGAGGGCGAAAGGAACATGACGCTACTTACACTATGCTGTATGGTGTTAGACGTAGGAAGTAGGGTTTTGGCGGGAACTTGTCCGGCGGCGGTTTGCTGCTTCCGTATTATCGTTCAAATAATAGTTTGAAGTGGACTTTGATATGTAAAAGTGGTGCGATTTTGTGTATTGCGTGTCTGCGCATGTGAACTATTAGTGGAAACTGTGAAACAAGCGTTCTGATTGTGAAGTGATTCTTAAGATAAGGTCTCTGCTTAGGCGCCTAAAGATACCGTTGCCAACTGTCAGCTGTCTGCTGGCTCAAATTGCCGTCAAAATCTCCCAAGGGTTGCACAATGTGACACATCAACATATTGTGAAGCAATGTACTATAAAGGATAATCATACATTGTAACTTCAGGCTCAGAAGGGCTAGAACCTAGAGCCGTAAAGTCAGTTATAAAAAAATCGTAGGAAGTAGTAAGTAATTCAAAAAATATATTTTGTAAGTGTTTTTAAAGTTTCATTTCGTGCCCAGTCCCACATGTAGGATGTGCTTGTTTTGTAAGAATTTTGATTTCTTATATTTACGCGAAGACTACACATTAAGTGAAACAAATTTTTACGGATTTCATCGTGTATATTAACTTATTTTATATTCCCGACGTTTCGTGCACCTTACAGCACCCATGGTCACGGGGGGACTGTGAAACACCTTCATGTCCCGATGTCAGCCCAGCTACGTTCAGTTTTTGAATATAAATTTATTACATGCGTAGATCGGACACATGTAATAAATTTATATATTACATGCGTGCCATGTAGTGGCGGTTTAGAATATCCACTACCCCATATCTTCCCGTGGGTGTCGTAAAAGGCGACAAAGGGAAACACAGGAGATGGACAGCAGCATCTTCCTGATAACAGCAAAATTACAATAATAAAACTGCGGTTGCCAACCCGCTCGCCAAGCGTCGCAACTATGGCAAATACCCCCCAATGATGAGAGCAAGAAAGAGACGGCCCACAGTCCCCGGCGGCCCCGCTATTCCTGGCTACGGTGGCGACCATGGTAACGGCGAGGCAGGGGGAGCTAAGAATCTCCGGTGGAGGTTCGGTTGCCACCTAAGACGACTCGACCTGGCAACATACAACGCACGCACCCTGAAGACTGACGAGAAGATCGTGGAGCTGGAAGAAGAGATAGATAAGTTACGCTGGCATATTATAGGATTATCCGAGGTCCGAAGAGAGGGGGAGGACACGGTAATCCTCGATTCAGGTTACTTGCTCTATCACCGGGAGGGCGACCATCTGTCCCAAGGAGGTGTCGGATTTATCGTCCACAAGTCTCTCGTTAACAACTTTGTAAAGATTGAGTGTGTCGACGAGGGTTGCGTACATTATACTCAGAATCACCAAACGGTATTCGCTGAAGGTCATACAGGTTTACGCACCAACCTCGACACACCCCGATGAGGAGGTGGAGGAAATGTATGAGGATATCTCTAGAGCCATGCATTCCTCCAAAACCCACTATACGATGTTACTGGGAGACTTCAATGCAAAACTAGGCACAAGAGAGAACGGTGAGCTGAAAGTAGGGAAATTTGGAATAGGGCAACGTAACCCAAAGGGCCAGCAGCTGGCCGACTTCATGGAGAAAGAGGGACTCTTTATGATGAACTCTTTCTTCCAGAAGCGGCCCCACAGGAAGTGGACCTGGTCGAGCCCCGACGGTTCGACAAAAAATGAGATTGACTTCATTATGACGACCAGAAGACAACTGTTCAGTGATGTCTCCGTGATCGCGAGGGTGAAAACTGGTAGCGATCACCGAATGGTTAGAGGCACACTGAACCTAAACGTTAAGTTGGAGAGGTCTCGTCTAATGAAGTCAACGCTCCGTCCCCCTCGTCCTCTAGTCCAAAGTCCCGAAACCTTTCAGCTCGAGTTACAAAACCGTTTTCAGTGCCTAGAAGACTGCAATAAATTGGACGATATGAATGACAAGCTCGTGGAAATTGTCTTTGCGGTCGGAGCTAAGTTCTGCAAGACCCGCCGCAGAAGAACACAAAAACTCTCCGATCACACTCTTAATCTCATGGCTGTTAGACGGGAGATGAAGCTACATTCTTCAACAGATTTGACAGCATACAGGCAACTGAACAGACAGATCTCCAAATGCATGCGGCGGGACTTACGCAACTTTAATACTGCTCGTATTGAAGAAGCGATCGAGCGGAACCAGGGCTCCAAAGTCTTTGCTAGAGGTCTGTCTGCCAGAAAGAGCCAACTGTCGAAGCTAAAGACTGAGTATGGCAGCGTCATTTCCGTGACACCTCAGATTTTGAGGGAGATTGAGAGGTTCTATGGGCAGCTGTACACTACACATCATCGTTGGAGCCACACGCAAGTGTGAGTAACGATCCAAGAGCGAGTCTTATCCGACACTATTCCGAAGATATCTCGGACGTCAGTCTGAGAGAGATTAGAATGGCTCTCCAGCAGCTTCAAAACGGCAAGTCCCCGGGCGAGGATGGAATTACAGCGGAGCTTTTGAAAGCGGATGGAAAACCGGTACTGGAAGTCCTTCAGATGCTTTTTTTTATAGGATCGAGTGACAAACGAGCACACAGTCCACCTGATGGTAAGTGGTTGCTGTGGTCATTAGACATCTACATTTACCTTCGTTTGCGAATCAAAACGCAGATGCGTTGTCACTCGTAAGGACTAAGATGGAATGCCTCTTTGCCTGTGAAGGCGTGGTTCTTCCCCGGTCGAGCCGACTCATTCGTGTTACAACTATACTAATAATATAGCTGCAGCGTGGCTCTACCACGTAGCTCTTTAATTCCGTCCTCCATGGTGGCACTAGTCCGGAGGCGTGGAGCAGAAGTGCGGTGGTCTTGTTCTACAAGAAAGGCGACAACGCTCTCTTGAAGAACTACAGACTGATTTCCCTTCTGAGCCGCGTCTACGTGCTGTTTTCGAGAGTCATTACGAATCGTCTCGCAGGCAGACTTGACGACTTCTAGCCTCCCGAACAAGCCAGTTTCCGAAAAGGGTTTAGTACCATAAACCACATACATACCCTGCGGCAGATTGTACAGAAGACAGAGGATAATAATCTGCCACTTTGCCTTGCGTATGTGGACTATGAGAAAGCCTTTGATTCTGTCGAAATTTGGGCGGTGCTGCAGTCCCTTAAGCGATGCCAAGTTGACTGTCGGTATATCGAAGTGCTGAAGTGTTTGTACAGTAGAGCTACTATGTCTATCCGAGTACAGAATCAGAGTACGAAACCTATCCAATTGCAGAGAAGTGTAAGACAGGGTGACGTGATATCCCCGAAACTTTTCACCGCTGCATGGGAAGACGTTTTCAAGCTACTGGACTGGAAAGGATGCGGTATTAACATCAATTGCGAGTACATCACTCACCTTCGATTTGCCGACGATATAGTCCTTATGGCAGAATCGCTGGAGGACTTAAGCACTATGCTCAATGACCTCAATAGTGTCTCCCGACGGATAGGTCTTAAGATGAACATGGACAAAACAAAATTCATGTTTAACGTCCATGTCACACCTATGCCGGTAGTTGTTGGGAGCACTAAGCTCGAAGTTGTTGACGAGTATGTTTACCTGGGACAAATAGTCCGCCTAGGTAAGTCCAACTTCGACCGAGAGGTCAATCGACGAATTCAACTTGGCTGGTCAGCGTTCGGGAAACTACGACACATCTTCTTGTCAGTTATACCTCAAAACCTGAAAACGAAATTGTACAACCAGTGCGTGTTCCCAGTGATGACTTACGGATCTGAGACGTGGTCCTTCACTGCTGGCCGTATGAGGAAGCTTAAGGTCGCTCAGGTAGCTATGGAGAGGGCTATGCTCGGGGTTTCTTAGAAATGAGAATATCCGCAGTAGAACCAGAGTAACCGACATAGCCCAACGGATTAGTAAGCTGAAGTGGCAGTGGGCCGGCCATATAACTCGAAGAACCGACAACCGATGGGGAAGAAAGGTTCTCGAGTGGCAGCCTCGTACCGGTAGGCGAAGTGCAGGACGACCACCTACTAGATGGAGTGACGTCTTGGTAAGACATGCAGGAAGTCGATGGATGCAGGTGGCTAAGGACCGTGTTTTGTGGCATTCCTTGGGGGAGGCCTATGTTCAGCAGTGGACACATGTAAGGCTGTAATGATGTAGATCGGACTAAAAATTAATATTCAAAAACTGAAGGTCGGGAATTAAGAAATTAAATGCGATAAAATCCGTAAAAATTAGTTTGATTTAATTGTAAGTATTTGTTACTTTTCGTTTAATATGCATTGCTGTATGTACATTTGTGTTCTGTGAATATTTGTTTACAATATTTATACCTGTTTCTATGTAAATGTGTGTACGTATGTATTGTTCGAATAAATAAACCTAACACAGTTATTTATTCATTTCACGTTTCTTCTAGGTTTACTACAATTATACCATAGATAAATATGTACATATAGACTAACCTTGCATCTTACTAAGTGGTAGAGTCACGCTGCAGCTATATTATGGTTGTAGCATGAATGGAACGGCTCGACAGGGGAGGACCACGCTCTCACAGAATACCAGCGTAAAATAGCAGCTCAATGCTGCTGTGTTGCGTATGGTGGGTGTAGAGATCCGTGGATCATTTTTACTGGAAACGATGCATTTCAACTTATTCCTTAGGGGTATAACGCGTCTGCATTTTGATTCTTAATCGAAGGTAAATGTTGATGGCTACATTTATCCTCGATTAAAAATCAAAATCTCGTGTGGTGAGTGTAATAAACTGGAGACCGTTTTATCCGGAACCGTGGCATTCCATCTTAGCCCTCACGCCTGACGACGTATCTGCATTTTGATTCGCAAACGAGGATAGATTTAGGTATCTATGGGCCAGTATTCACTTTCCATCAGGTGGACCGTGTGTTTGTTTGTCACCCATAATCTATTAAAAAAAATGCCTGCGTATCGACTTCGCGCGGCAAACCATCGAACATTGGCTCGCGTGGCATCCGCGCACAGTGGATATCAAACATCGGTGCGCTCGAACCAATCCGCGTCAGTTTTTGACGGCGCGGCAAAGGAATCTCAGTGAGTTGTGCTCGGTGCTCGCGCAGTTGGGACGGTCGTTTACGTATTTTAGATGGCGCGCGCGGGAAAAACATGGATAACGTCGTAAGTGTCGTACTTTAATTAGGTTATATGGTAGTAAACAATTTCTATGGAACAGTAAATGTAGTGATTATCACAACAAACCGCTGCACTTCGCCGACGTACAACGTCCATGGTTGCCGCGCACAAAATGAACGCTAGGCTAGAGCAAAAAATATCGATATACAGGGTGTCCCAGTAATGGTGGATAATCTGGTACGTACGTGTTCGGGCGGGGTGGGAGGTGGCCTCGGTACCCAAAAAAAATTCTATCCCGAACGGTTCGCGGTCGTTATATTTAATATTTCTGTAAAATGAGCTGCCCCATTTATTAGAAGATGAGTGGCTCATCTTCTAATAAATGGGGCATCCGTCTAAGAATGTGGCTCCAAAATGATGGTTGTCCGGCACATTACGCCGTCCAAGTAAGGAGTTACCTAAACGAAGCCAACCGTGATCGGTGGATCGGCCGAATTAGACCGATATTGTGGCCACCAAGATCACCTGATATTAACCCATTTGATTTTTGTTATCTCGCTCACACAGCTTAGAATTCGTCCAAACAAGGCGAGCAGGAGGTAGTAAAGTAAAATTTTCAAGCGCGACAAATGTACTTACCTAATAAAGTCATGCAATGTTAAAAAAACTATCTGCCAATAATTTTGTAATGAAATGCCTACTTTTACACATTAACGGCTATAACTCAGTAAATAATGACATTAAGTACATGGTATGCTACTGTTTTAGAATCCTTATGATATAGGCAAACTTTTTAAATGGTTGGCCACACAGATCCTATACGTTTTTTTTTTCACCACAGGTGCTCAAACTTAGCAGTTAATTAAATTAAATAATTTAAAGTTATGTTTAGTGCCGTCTTGTAAAATACTACCCATAGTAGTTGAAAAGTTTTAAGGGTAATTTAAAAACAACTTATTAGGGTATACATTAAAAGAAAAAAATCCAATCTAGGCATTAAACTGCGGACGTAATGACCACAAATGTAAGCAGAAGTACGAATTTTCGGAATTTTATAAAACATGGCGTAGACCGCGAACCGTTCGGGATAGAATTTTTTTTTAGAGAACCGAGACCCCCCGAACACGTAAGTACCAGATTATCCACCATTACTGGGACAGCCTGTATATCGTCGATAATTTAAATCGCGATATATCGATATTTATTTTAGAGTATCGAATTCATATCAATTTCATTATATTTTAAAATGTATTAATGACAAAACTTCTAACAACAAAAGGAGGTACAAAAGTATTCATGTGTGGTTGGTTGTCGTTTTTTTTTTCGTCGTTCAACCGTCAGTAATATAAAGTTTTGGACCTTATCTTTACATCATGTGAATGGTGACGATATATCCATATTTATCACGCGATATATATCGATATATTTTTCCCTTGCTCGTCCCTAATGAAAGTTTCTTGGCGGATCGGCTGTCGCGCGCGGCTGCTTCGCTGTAAACACTTATTACATTACACGATTTCTCGGGCCCTGCCCGCAGGGACAGGGTAGTGTAATAAGAAACAGGGAGTCAGGGTCCCTAAACAGGGCGACCGAGTGGTTCCGACCGCCCTGCTTCCCTGCCGCGCTGTGGATCGTGTAGTGTAATAAGAGACAGGGAGGCAGGGAGCTCAGTTGCGTGGCCGCATGCGCAGAGTCTACACGTTTGTTTATTTAAAGTTCTACTATGTCGATCTACTCTCTAAATCATTACTCGTATTTATGTCATTCGCTAAAGAAAAAGATCCTTCTCAATGTCATCGACACAAATATTGATAGGAGTTTATACCTTATCAAATCTTGATAGGAGTTTCCAGTGGCCAAAATCGTAAAGTGACAACCAATCTCTCTTAAAAAAGTATTCTTTTGAATAAAACTTCTTTTACGGATTCTATCGCGTTTAATTTTTTTTATTAATTCCCGACGTTTCGGGTGCTTTACCACCCATGGTCACGGGGGACTGGTTGCTGTAAAGCATCCGAAATGTCGGGAATTAATAAAAAAAAATTAAACGCGATAGAATCCATACAAGTAGTTTTATTCAATGTGTAGTGTTCGCGTAAATATAAGAAATCATTAAGGTATTTTTTTTTCTATTAAAGGCGTTACTAAGCTTAATAACTCGTCGAATTGGTTTTCACCTACTCTTTAAAATAGTTTCGTAGGTCTGTTGGGTCCAAAACGCTGACTATTTGCATATTCGATAGTTTTTCTCTGAGGAGCAAATATTTTTCATCCACATTTAACTTTCCTTCCTTTTTTTAGCTTGGCCTTGCACGTTACCGCCAGCCAGTTTTTTTTATAGGATAGGGTGACAAATGAGCACACAGTCCACCCGATGGTAAGTGGTTGCTGTGGCCCATAGACACCATAGATAAATATATATGTAGCAAGTAGACACCTACATTTATCCTCGTATGGGAATCAAAATGCAGATGCGTTGTCACCCGTGAGGGCTGAGATGGAATGCCTCTTTTCCAGTAAAAAGGGTCTCCGGTTCTCTACACTCACCATACGAAACACAGCAGTGTTAAGCTGCTATTTTACGCTGGTATTCTGTGAGAGTGTGGTCCTTCCCCGGTCTAGCCGACCCATTCGTGCTACAACTATACTACTAATATAGCTGTAGCATGGCTCTACCACGTAAAAAAAACCAATAAAGCAATTTTTTGAAGTTTAGATAAAGTCTGCGCCATAATGCTAGACGTGCAATCATTTCCACGTTCGAGTAACAACTGAGGCAGGGAGCGATTTCTAGCGTAGTGTAATAAGCAGCACTCTGTCTGGTAGGCAGGGCACACGATGGACAGGGCCCGATAAATCGTGTAATGTAATAAGCCTTTTAGTTAAATTGTGCGCTAAATTGGTTCGCAAGCCAAAACACAGGTTTCCCGCGGGAACAATGCTCTCGCGGCAACCGCGCGCAGTTTATACGCAACTTAAGATACGTGGTGACTGGAATTTATGTGAGCAGTGTCGTTCTGCTCGTTGGGGCTGGCAGCGTTATGGCTGTGCGGTCGCTTGCGCGCCGTGTCTAGATGTCGAGGCAGCGCCGCCAGGGTTCTCGCTTGCCTGGTTCCTCTCATGATGGCGCTGTGCGTAGCTCTGTCGAGGAGTTGTGACTACCACCACCACTGGCAAGGTAAGCAATTTTTACGAGCACATTTCTACCGACTTCTAAAAGGCGGAGGTACTCAATTCGACTGTGTGTTCTTTTTTTATTATATGTGTTACCTCATAACTTTCTTCCGGGTGAATCGATTTCGATGATTCTTTTTTTATTTGAAAGCTGGTGCTTCTCATGTGGTCCTATATAAATTTAGACCAAGAACTGACCAGTAGTATTTGAATTATCCTTAATAATGTATATTGAATTTTACACGTGGTAGGAGCCATGCTGTAGCTATATTAGTAGTATAGTTGTAGCACGAATGGGTCGGCTCGACCGGGGAAGGACCACGCTCTCACAGAATACCAGCGTCAAATAGCAGCTTAACGCTGCTGTGTTTCGTATGGTGAGTGTAGAGAACCGGAGACCCCTCTTACTGGAAACGAGGCATTCCATCTTAGTCCTCATGGGTGACAATGCATCTGCATTTTGATTCGCAAGCGAGGATGGATGTAGATGTCTATGGGTCACAGCAACCACTTACCATCAGATGGACTGTGTGCTCGTTTGTCACACTGTCCTATAAAAAAAATTGAAGTTACTTGTACAAAATTTTAAATTATTAACTTATTTATCTGGCATTCTGTACTGACTTATTAGCACTTTGCAATTTATTACATGGTGATGATATTGCCGACGTTCCCAACATTTTGTAGCTTCTTACATTGACATATTGTAACCAGTTTTACAAGCACTATGTTTATAATTGAAATTATGATATGTAAATTTCTTAAAATAAATAAATATCCAATTAAAGATGTTAAAATTTATTAGCTAAGGCCCACGTTATAAAATAAAATGTTATATCTTAACTAGTTTGAGGAGCATCTCCCGTTCTCCCTCAATGAGGCCTAATATGTTTCTGCTCACCAGATGTCGCTAGTTGACACTGAGGTAAAGTTTTCTGTTACACAATGTCAGTTAATTGGGAAGTTAGTTTTTAATAAAAGTTTATCAGTTTCTAGAGTATTATATTAATACACAAAACAATGCCTCAGTGGTTAGCTCTTTAATTTTTTGCGCAATTTTAACTTTTGTTTTTTAAATTTTCTACTTTTATGAATATTTGTGGTTTGGTTTATTTATTTTTAATTTTATTAATCTATACAAATAAATAAAATTTAAGTGTCTGTTTTTAATGTAAAAATAACATGTTTTTACTGAATGTTGTGAAAGTATATACGTTACTTATACAAAAAAAAAACTATATTTTATAAATTTTTAGCTGTCTGTCGGTCTGTCTGTTTGTTCCGGCTAATCTCTGAAATGGCTGGATAGCTGCTGTTATAAGGAGTAACTTAGTCTACTTTTAATTTAGAAAAACAATTGGGGCTCAGCGTAAAAAAATCAAAACCAATGAAATCCAACTGTAATAAGTACCACGCGGACGAAGTCGCGGGAACAGCTAGTATAAAACACAGCTAATAGTACAGAAAGAAACAATAACCTTTACATTTTCCGAACAAATTAACTTCCCCGATATGAAATCTGTCAAATATTATACCTCACTTTTAAGTGGCGCCGCCCTGGTGGCGGAAAAAGTAGTCGACGTCCTCATTGCGTGCACTATCCCCGTCACCACTCTCAACACCACTACACTAGGAAGGACACGTTGTTCGTCTTTAAACGAGACATCGAGTGAAATGAAATTTTCACCTGAGTATGCCCCATCATATTATAATTAACACAAAGTAATGCCCGACTTTATTAATTAAATAGACAATTTCTTATCTTCCAGACATACTCGTTGGCTCGACACTAGGTTTCACAGTGGCGGTGTTCTGCTATCGCCAGTATTACAACCCGCTCACGTCCGAACTCGCAGGCGTGCCCTATATTGTATCCAATTACAATCTAGTCAAATATTCCAATGGCAAACCCGACATAAGTCCAATAAAAGACAGTAAAAATGCCGAATCTACGCCATTGCTAAATGGCGGGAAAAAGGAGGACAAATGGATATGAAACAAAAAATATCTCACGTAATTTGATATACGATACGTATGCCTGAAACAAAGTTTATCAAAAGATATAAAAAAAAAAAATAAGAAAATACTAATAAAACTTATACTAGATTAAGTATATTTCTAAACTGAAGATATTTTTTTCAACTTCATTAAACTAAAGCGAACGTCTTCCTTAAAATAAAAATCAAAATATTTCTTCTGATTTTTATAGATTAAACTAGTAGAGCATATGTAACGCCATCTGTTGTTCACAATATTAACTTGATATTTTTAATTCCTACTACCGGATAATAGATGGCGCTGCGTTGTGAATTTTACTAAAATCCGTTACGTCATGTTGTGATATATAATTTAATTTAACAAATTAAGAATTATACATATTATTACTTAAGAAAAAATCCCCAAAAGAAAGGTATCATTTTGTAATTTAATAAGGTTACATTCCTAGATAAAATACTAGAACGTATTTCCACATCGATTAATGCATTTAATTTTAGGAAAAAAAAAGCAAAATATATAGTTGGTGTTGTTATATTAGAAACCATATTATATTATATTTACTTTTAACTGACAAGTGGCATAATCGTGCAAGTCATTACCTCGAAAAAAAATTATGTATATATTAGATTTTTATCGTTTAGAGTAGATTGTGTATACTACAAAAACAAAGTGAGAATAATTTTTTATAACTTTAAAGTAAAAAATGAGCGAATTATAATAAACCTTATGGTAAGTGACTACTACAGTATATAGACCTCTCTGCAACCAACTTCAAAAAGAAATCAACAGATGTGTTCTCACCTGCAAAGGCCAAAATGTAACGTTTCGCAGTCTGTATTACTGACTCACACATCTTTCCAACCTGAACACGAGAGTGTTTACCTAACTATTCGGCATCCACACCATCTGTATGCTTGGCGGTCCACCGTTGTACGTTTTACTAGATGTTTTCTTCCTCGTACAACTTCTCTGTGGAATAGTTTACCACCGACAATTTTGCCGGACCGATACGATTGAGACCTTCAAGAAAAGGGCCTTTCTAAAAGGCCAGCAAATCATCTGCATTTCCCCTGGTGTTGCAATTGTTCGTGGGCGGCGGTAGTCACTTAACATCAGGTGAGCCGTATGCTCGTTCGCCTCCTCTCCTATAAAGAAATAGGCTAAGGTATTGCTATTAGTAAAAACTGTATTTTTTTCTTATTTATAACTAAAATTGTACTTAATTTAAAACATAAGTAAAAAAAAATATTTTAATTAAATGTGATTTTAACATTCCTACAATATACATATAAATATAATTTATAAATAAATGTTTTTGTTTTACTTTAAAAGTAAAACTAAATATAGGGTTTGTTTTTCTGTAATATACTAGCGCATAATATATTAATATATGCAACTTAAATAATTCTATGTATAAGTAGCGGCACGAAAGTCTAGCAGTGACCGTTATTGCGCATAAGTCGCGCTGATTGGCTCTCCAGTTGCATTCGTGCAATTCAATTCGTGCGCGTTCCCTCCACGTTTCGTTCAGCGCTAAACTTACGTGCCGCGACTTGCCTACTACTAGATAGGCAAATCAGATCGAAAACTGCATCATAGCTTACCAGCTGGCACAGTAAATATGCCACGCGAGATGGCAGTTGTATTGCACATCTAACAGTGTCTAGCAGCGAACTTACACGCGACTGTTATAGAAATAATTAAGACGTGTCAAGAAGTTGAGTATGGTTTTGGCGTCGCATGAAATGTAAGCAGCGCTCAGCCTATATTCTTCGTTGGTCTGAGGTTCTAATAGAACATAAATGTTTAGAATAATTTTTAAAACAATTTTTATCTTATTTGTTACCTTATATATTTTATTGTGAGGTGCTTTTTTATTCATAAGTGATTTGTGATTGATAAACTATTCCATAAAGATACAATGTGATAACTTGTTACCAATAGCATATTTCTTTATTTATTATTTTTAACATCATAAAACTAATGATTATTATAAATGAAATAGAAAAATTTTTCTATTTATGTCAATTTTGTTATTTTTTTATTTACAAATTTTATTTATTTTTGTTATTGTTTAATTTTAATTAAAGTCACCTATATAGTCGATAAAAAACAAATTATTTATATTTTGAATTTTTTTTTCTAGCGTTATATAGCGCAAAGAAAAAAATCACTAAGTGTAAATAGTGACATTTTTTCATAGTTTTTATAATATTTTATCACCATAAAATTAGAAACTTCAAAATACAGCACAGTTTAAAAAAAATTGTATATTTCACTGTCTGTATACAGGCTTATTTTTCAAAGCGTAGTTAAATTTTAAACTTAAGTTCAAATATATAAATAATGATATATTGTTATTGCAGTATTTGAAAATACGAAGAAATAAGGCTTCTACTTTTATTTGAAATTATCCCAAATTGAATGTGATTTATGGGCAACAACGCTTTCGCCTACCGATCGAGTCGACCCTTACGAATGTGAGCATCCGCAGTAAAATCAGTTTAAAATTTAAAAGATAAAAAGAATAGAATTATTAAGATTTTTTTTAAATTAATTTTTCTTTTCAATTGCCTATATTACTTATTCTGAACTTTCTATGCAAATTTGGCCGGTTATTGCACAATAACCCTGTATATCAGTTATGGTATATTTACAGAAATTTATTTAGGTATTTAAAGAAAGTAATATAACGATGTTGTGAACAAAACATTTACTTAAAATAAATATAAAAAAATGAGACTAAATACTTAATGCTAATGTTTTTGCATTTTATTCAGTTTGACTAAATCATGCGATTATTTATAATAAATAACTTAACAATTTTAATACAACCTGTGTAATTAAAATGTATTCGCAAGATTTTATGTTAAATCTCTGACTAACAAAAAATCTAGATAGAGATAGAGTGGTGGGTGTGCGAGTTCTTGTCCTTGCAATAAGTTTAGCATATGTTCACACGTGGTGGAGACACGCTGCAGCTATATTATGGTTGCAGTACGCATGGGTCGGCTCGACCGGGGTAGGTTCACGCTCTCACAGGATACCAGCGTGAAATAGCAGCTTAACGCTGCTGTGTTTCGTATGGTGAGTGTAGAGAACGTAAGGATGAGTAACAATGCATCTACATTTTGATTCTTGAAGGATAGATGTAGATGTCTATGGGCCACAGAAACCACTTACCATCAGGTGGACTGTGTGCTCGTTTGTCACTCCCTCAGAGGTGGGTTAAGTAACTTAAAGAGTCGTAGGCTTGCAATTACTTAATTTAAGTGAAACTACTTAATTTTACAATTATATTATGTGTGTTATATAATAATATGAATCGTGATAATCCAGAATAGATTTATATATACGTATATAAGAAAAATAAAATTTTCTATTTTACATGTAAACAAAATATTTTTATGATTGTTCAATTAAAATATCGTGGACAACAATTATTTGTTTTATTTTCTCTATAGCCGGTCCGCTGTGGTGTTTATGACGGACTAGGTTTCCTCAGTTTCTTCCTTCCTACATTATTTAAGTATCAACGGAGACCAGCCATCTGCGCAGTACAGGATCATAGTGCCCTAGTGTGAGCACACGGGCACTCTCTATTGCCTCGCTCTCGTAGTCCGATGGGACGGTAATACACGGCCGGAGAGAGATCAGGCGCAAGAGCAACGGCTTTACGTGCTTTCCGAGTACCGGGGGTGAGACACCGCCAACTTCCTGACTCCGGGCAGCTACTGAGAACATATTGAGAGAAAAAATAACTGATTTTGACCCGACCCTGGATTCGAACCCAGAACGGAAAGATAAGTAACCGCGCTTACATTCACTAGATCAAAGAGGCAGTCAATCTGGTGGTTTCCGGTTGCAAAACGCTATTCGCACTATTATTACCAGTACAACAAGTTTTTGGAACGAAGTTCTTTATCGGACGGTACGGGTTTGGCGGATGGGAGCTTGGCGACAAAAAGTGTAAGATTTTTTCGTCACTACCCCTTGCGTCATAGTGTAGACGGCCTTGGCGGCGAAATAAGGAAGTGAGATGGAATAATATCCATCTCCCTCGCACTTTTTCTTATCTTGCCATGAAATAAATATTTTACTTCAAATGACGCTTCATTTTAATAGACGCTAGTAATTTATTTATTTGTATTTGTTAATCAGTAATATAATAACTACGTTTATCAATAATAATATACTAAGCAAGGAACTTCGTTCCAACCGAGTGTTCCACGACACTCACGCATTTTTTTATAGAATAAGTGGTAGAGCCATGCTGCAGCTATATTAATAGTAAAGTTGTAGCAGGAATGGGTCGATTCGACCGGGGAAGGACCACGCTCTCACAGAATACCAGCGTAAAATAGCAGCTTAATGCTGCTGTGTTTCGTATGGTGAGTGTAGAGAACCGGAGACCTATTTTACTGGAAACAGGGGCATTCTATCTTAGTCCTCACGGCTGACAAAGCATCCGCATTTTAATACGCAAACGAAGATAGATGTAGATGTCTATGGGCCACAGCAACCACTTACCATCAGATGGACTATGTGCTCGTTTGTCGTTTATGCTAAGATGCCTGTCGGTGTGCCCCGAACAGGTTCGTAGCACTTAGGTCACTGTGGGTGATCAAAAAGGAATCCACTTGCTTTTTTTACTACTCTAAGACTTGTAAGTGCTTGACCACTTACCATTCCACCTGATGGTAAGTGGTGATGCAGCCAAAGATGGTAAAGCGCACTGACTTGACAAATTCACTCTTACCTTGAAGACACCCTAAGTGGGCTTGGGCTACTCCCGAGTGCGTGTACTTTGGTGGACCGAGAGGGGTGTTCTCTCCGTTCCCCACTGCAGCATGCGTTTTTTTAATTTAGGATAAGAGTGACAAACGAGCACACAGTCCACCTGATATATGGATTCTGTGGTCTATGGCATCTATATCTATCCTCGATTAGGAATCAAAATGCAGATGCGTAGCTGCCCCCGAGTACTAAGATGGATTGCCTAGTTTCCTGCGAAAATGGAGCTGCAACCATAACATACCTGCATCGTGGCCCGAGCATGACTCTATCTCTGCGAAGTGGAGTAGCGGGTGAAGAAAACGGGCGACTGCAACTCTTGCTATGCCACTGTGTGACACAGTTGCCAGATTACTTTGAATACTCAAGTCGATAGACATGTAATAAAACAAAAACAATATAGTCAATCTTTTATTTACAATTATTAAATTCATTATCTTCTTAATAATTAATGACAAACTGTACGTACTATTTTATTTATAAAACAGTCATTTTTAAATTATGAATGTCAGACAGTACACAATGAAATATCAATCAGGCTCATTATATATTTCTTATAGTGAACAATTATCATTCTTTCCTGTTGTAGGGCACATACCTCCTCGATCTATTATTACTCGGACTTACAGTTCTACTCGTGTGCAGAGCGGATACATTGATACCGCGTAAAATCGATTAAAAATCATCATATAAAAAGGCGCTAGAGGGCGCTGTAGGTGAAGACAGCAATTCGTGGGTTTCTATCTCCCGTACATACTCTTGTCTATGGTTGTTTTTACTACAAGTTAATCAAGCAAAGAGCAATACAAAATGTCTAAACTTGCAAGCAGCTAGAATTTGTTATAATTATTTAAGCCTAAACAGTTATTACTATTCCAATTATGATAGAACCTATTAGTGACGTTTTCCTTTGCTGTGTCAATTTTGGACAGTAAAACGGTCGTTTTATTCTTTTGTGACTTTTTTTCAATTTAAACAACACGGCTACACTGTCTATAAATAATAATTAAATATAGGAAGAGTAGCCATCCTAGTTACTTATTAATAGTAAGTGTATGTATGAATAATTCCAAATAAAAAATAGCGTCATATACTATATTTACCAACTATCTAGAAAATAATAGTTTGGTTTGCTTAAATAGAACATGTAAATCAAGAAAGGTTTCTTGATTTACATGTTAAATCTAGGCAGTTCTTGATGAAACTATATCACACAAGGCAGCATTTCTTTATAACTTAGTGAGAAAAAATCATCTACCCTCATAATTCTTAATAGAAAACAGTTTTTAACTATGGCATACCGTTACTGCCTATCAAAAGCTAGCTGAACATAGGTCTCCACTACAGACTGCCATAGTTGCCACGCTTGGCAGGCAGGTTGGCAACTGCAGTGTTTTTTATTTTTTGTTCATTAGGAAGACCGCTCCTCATCTAGTAGCTTGTTTCTCTCTGTCGCCTCTTACGTCTCTAACTGGAACGAGCTAGGGTAGTGTATATTCTTATATCGCCAGTATTATTATCATAATTAAGGCTTAAATTAAATTGAATGATAAATACATATTATAATAATTAAGAAAAAAAATTTTAAATCATCAAATAGGGCAAAAATAAGGGAATTTATATTGTAAACATTTAAAGACGTATACATAGTTTTATTAATGTACTAAACGAGTTGAATGTAAATTCAAGAAAAACAACTTCCTTCTGCGTGAATCCCATATCTCTGGTGCCCTTTGACCTACAGGACCCAAATTAAAACCTCAAGGTATCCACATACCAAATTTAAAGTCAATCGGTCCAGTGGAACGGAAGTTATCGTGTCGGCATACAGACTAACAGACTGCCAGCTAAAACCATTAACTTCCTTTCAATGCTACGCAGAAGGAAGTTAATAAGTTGATTTATTGGTCAAAACTCAGTTATTCGTGTTTTTTTTTTAAATTTCAGGTGTTTAAAAAAACCAAATAGAAATTTTATGCAAATAAATTTGTATCTTTCTGTATTTCATAATCATGCAGAAATGTGTTTGTAATATTTATAACAAAATTATAATTACTATTTACAATAAAAATACAATCAAAACAAATTTATACCTACCCTCACTTATTTCAAGCAATGCTTATATAATAGTAAAACAAGTCTTATAAGATGCAATATTTTAAACACACCACATTTTTGTTAATTATTCCTGTAATAATATTATTTCCATTTATTAAAAAATTAATCAATTATTGTAGATTTTTTTATTAAAAAATAATAAGCCTACGAAAGTTCTCAAGTAATATTGCAATTCAAAGATTTCTATGTGTACTACTATTTTACTGCAATTCAGAACAAAAACTGTGTTACGAGCTGCGGTAGACGCTGACACTATAGGGCATAGATGAGCCACTTGACAAATTATTAGGTGACTAAACGAGGGAAGTTTCTTATGCGCTCTAAGAGATGGAGTTGGGATTATAAATTACTGAAAATTACACTAGAGGGCGCTATCAACTAGATTCAATATTATTTCGTACATATTTCAATAAAATTAAAAGGAAATGCTTTTAATTACTAACTAATCTGTTTTAAAGAACACTTCATTTAGTTTGTTTTATATGACCATGGTATAAATTGCTATTTACATAGAATTATTCTATATATATACCGCTGTATTTCAAAATTTTGCTAGCATGATTTAGGCTTCGGTATAAATAATGAATACCAGCAGTGGCGCCATTTTTTTGATAAAATTTGTAAAAATATTGGGGAAAATAGTACTTTTAACTATGAGATGGCGCTAGTATCAACGTAAAAGCAAGCTACTGACGACTTTCATATCCCTGGCTGACACGCGGGTTACTGTTTTTAGGCAAATACAAAATAAAGTTACATACTTATTTGAAATAAACTTCAAATCACGTTGACAAAGTGCGCACATAAATAATGACAGAGTTCTCTTAGTGATATTAAACAAAATCTGTGTTATATTGTCAAAAAAGAACGTTCAGTTTTACAAATCATAGAACTAGTCTTCTCGCCCGCTCGCAGTCGACTAAAGGAGTTATGGAGAGTTGACCGTAACTTAGAGCGCAAAAGTCCGTCTAGTAGTCTAAATAGACGTTTTGGTTGCAATTAATATAGTCACAAATTAATAGAAAAAGATACAGTCTTTGCTACAAAGCGTGGACAAAGGAAGGTTTAAAATATATGAAACGAATGTTAAGTCTACTTTAGATTATGTTTATCTTAATGTTGAGATATGTTATTCCCATTTACATTTATAGTTTTCTATCAGCGTAAACTATCATAGAAATACTACTAAGGTAACCCCATAGGTTCACCATATCTTGCACTCATAGTAATATCCCACAATATATAGTTCCTATTTTCTACATATAGTTTACTGTTTTACTTTGTAAGACTAGATTTTGCAAACTACGATATTTAGATCGCACAACCTTATTCAATGTATTGGCAACTTCAGAACTAAATGAATATGGCAGCAAAATCTCTCGAAACAATAAATTTTTAATTTTCTCAAGCTCCAGCTACACGATGGTATCTTGCATGCATAAACAGTTTGTACAAAGTTTTCGCAAAGAACATGTTTGTGTGGCGTCCGCACGCCGTCTAACGTATACTTGCTTGTGCAACTTTAGTTTGACCAAGTTAAGCATTTCTGCAAGACATTTTTTTGCTTTACTATTCCTAGTAAACAATATCAAAAACTACCTTCTGCACATAAATAGTATAGAAAAAAAAATCTACTATAAAAGTATATATAAAGTAATGTAAATGCCAAAAATGTTTAATATTCTGTTATACAATTTAGTTTATGTAAATGTGAATTTCAATGTTATGTAAATAAAACTTTAAGTAAAATAATATATTTTATCTGTTTTACTTGGCACTACACAGTTTGCCCTTAGCAATTATCATATAATTAAATATTTTGTTGAATTAAAATAAATGCACAGTATACCGTTTTACCGGCGTAACGTACATGCAATGAAAATTAAAATTTGAGCAAGTAAGATTGAACGTGTAGCCGGGCCATTATCCTTTGTTATATTTAATACTTGACATCTATATGAATAATAAAAGTTTTTCTTAAGATTTATTCTATCGATTTTAAATTTAATTTTATGCCTTTGTGCATCCCAACATCACAAGATAGACATCCTACCAGATAATTCTTTGGGCATACTCAAAATCTTTCCAATATATCTCTTTAGTGAAGAACACATTGAATGTGAGAGCATTTATAATTAAATACCAAATAAATTCAAATAAAACAATCTCATATGTAGGTCGTACAAACCGAAGCCTGAGAATTATATATGGAACCAAAAAGTACCGGATTTCTATCATTTTTTGCAACGCAACCACAACAAAGGTACTAGCAAAGTATGGGAGGAGAAATGATATACAGTTTTGATCTTTCAAATTGTCATACAAACTAAATAGCAAGAAGACGTAGACGGGTGTTGTAGTGTATTTTGCATGACTGTACTTTCCGAACCAACGATTCCATATATAAAATGTGTAATGCCGATTATCAGCTAATAAATATGGATGAGTTATTGTATTGTAATGTACTATTATTACGAATAAAATTAAAAGTATCAAAGCTTTAGTTTTATTTGAGAGAATCAATTTTAAGGTTGATGGAACTTTTGCCAGGACATACGGTAGTCCAAATACACCATAGAACAACAAGAAATACAGTAATTGGGGCATATGAATGGCAGCCTCATGAGCCTTCTTATCTCCAACAACAATACCTTCGTTAATAATTACAAATAAAATGAAAGAACCCATCAAAACACCTTGTGTAACCAAAAGTAGCAAGTCCTGAAATTTTATAAATTTTAAGAATGTCATAAAATTAGTAGATATGTGATATTTTAAAGCAATAAGAACATCAGTAATGCCATAGTATCGTTTCAACTTGGACGAGTCAATATCTTTAGCAATTACCGACTGTTGGCTTAACGTTGTCCTACTCAAGTAATGATTGCCAAAAACTCTGGAACTCCTTATAAATATATCTAAGGCCTTGTGCCCAAAAACCATGGCTATCCATACCACATTAGTCTGTCTCATGAGCATGCTCCACAATCCATAGACAAACATAATAATTCTATTTCTATTGCTAAAGCAAAGCCTTGTAAAAGCCAGTAGGAAGGTCATAGACAAAGTGTCTGTATAATAGATGTGAGAGAAGAAGTACAAAGGTGGTAGAATGGTCAAATTTAACGCTTGCAGTACAATCTTCACGGGACTTTCAGAGTGACTTCCATATATAAATCTCAACATAGATGAGAACAGTAATAAGTTAATACAGGATGCTAACAAGTTAACAAATCTCAAGTTGTATATGTTGCATGTTAAGAACGGTGAAACGAATGCTGTAGAGACAAGATATAATCCCGGTGGTGTAGTGATCTTTTCATTCCAATATGTGAAGTTATGGTTGCAATAGCTCATGCCCTGCTGTAAATGATATAGTTCATCTACAACTGTCTGTATGGTGTTGTAGATTTTGTCAAATATCAGTTTTGAAACTCCAAAGTAGCTCACAAGAGCTACTGTTAGAAGCATGTAATATTTTGAATTCCTCATTTTACAGTTTTCCCGGATTCAGTTTCTGTAAGGAACAAAAAAAAATGTATAATGAAGTTGCAATTATTGCAGTAAGCCATTTTAATTACTTTATGATTTAAGCATAAGTAACCTGATGGATATGGACAACAAAACTTAAAAAATTGTATGTTTATTTATTTATTTTTAAAAAACTTAACCTCTACACTAGGCTTTTCTTCTGTATCGGCAGTTTACATACATGAATTTCATAAGGACAAATATCTAGACCAGGAACAATTATTTGTTGGCCATACAAATATTTGTTCCATGCTGGATTCAAACCCGCCGCGGCCTTTAGCTCTGCAATTCATTGCTAAGCCACAGAGTTCACAGAATCACTATACATGCATTTTATGCTTAACAGGAGTGGCTAACAGAAATACACTCAGCGTCACAAAAATCGCACCTCTCTGAGTTTGCGCGAAAAATGGCTGTAATGGCTAGAAACAAATTATATTTATATAAATATTGGTATGTTTGAAATCGGTATTTGAATAGCTTTACATTGTTAATAAAAAAATCATGAAATCATTAAAACATTTATCATTATAGAGCGTCAAAAATAAACACTGTCAAATGCTCGTTAGTAAGGACGCTAGTTACACCACCTAAAAAGGGTCGATCTGCATGAAATATGGGTCAGTCGTAATTTAGACTTTGCAGTGAACACACGTGAACAAGTAACCCAAGTAAGAACAAGTAAAGATGGACACCAACTCTGAAGAAGCCGCTTAAGTGATTGCCCTATTGCAGTCGGGGATGCGGCAGTGTGACATTGCTCGACAGTTGAACCTGTCCCGTTTTTCAGTTCGACGGGTGTTCCAACGTTTTCAGCAGACTGGTGGTTATGTTAGAAAACCGGTGTCTGGAAGAAAACGGAATCAGAAAGAGATGACCGTTTCATCTTTACGAAACCGTTTTGCAAATGCTGTTGAGTTGCAACAACAGCTTCGATCAACTCGGAGAACATCTGTGTTTCTATGATAAGAAAAAGGTTACACGAAAAGAGTTTAACAGCCCATAGACCTGCTAAAGGTCCCAAACTTACTGCACAGCATCGCAGAGATCGCCTAGAGTTTGCTCGCAATCATTGCGAGTGGACTCTAGAACAGTGGCGGACCGTACTCTTCTCTGATGAGACGAGGGTCTGTCTCTTCTGCAATGACAGACGTAGAAGGGTCTACAGAAGACAGGGGGAGAGGTTCACACAACCCTGCTTCGAAGAATCCGTCGAATACGGGGGTGGCTCGTGTATGTTTTGGGGCGGCATTTCCGTCAATGGGAAAACGGAGCTTGTGTGCGTTTCCCGGACTCGGGGTGGCCGTGGGCAAGGGTCATTAAATGCTAGTCGGTACATTACTGAAATCCTGGAGGAACATGTGGTCCTGTATGCTGGTTATGTCGGTGATGGATTCATGTGAATGCATGATAATGCTCGTTGCCACACCGCGGCTATTGTACGGAATTATTTACAGGAGATCAATATCCCTGTTATGCATTGGCCAGCACGAAGTCCAGACCTTAACCCAATAGAACATCTCTGGGATGACCTAATACGACACGTGCAAGCTCGAGATCCAGCTCCAACCACTCTTCAAGAGCTCCGAGATGCGGTACTTGAAGAGTGGGAACAAATACCCCAAGAGGCTGTTGCGACCCTTGTAAGGTCCATGAAAGATCGCATGGAAGCCGTTATCAAGGCAAGGGGGGGGGGGGGGGGGAACACTAAGTTTTAAGAACTTTTTTGTATTTATTAAGTTTTTTTTTAAATTATTAATTTGCAAATTTGTACATACCCTGTCTTTTTCTTTAATTTCTCTTTCGTCTCGTTATTAAAGTAAAATTCAATTAAAATTCCTGAAAGCTAATGAAATTATCTTTCGAATGATACCCTCAAACCACAACATTGCCATTGGCCTGTTGTGTTACAATAGTATTTAAATTATTTTTTTCGGATTTGCGATGTTTTGACGCCGAGTGTAGTAGTGTTAACAGCACTGCTAGTATTCAATAAGACAATATGTATAGTATGTAATTTAAAAAAATATGGTTACGGTATAAATCGGACCAATTTCAACCAACAAAAACAAATATAAACTGGTAAATTTGTTAATTGCAATACTAAGTGCTTCATCACGTGCTCGCCGGTGGAGGCAAACTTCGCGATGAAACTTGTATGTCTGAGAAATAATAATTATTTTGACGATGTGAATTCTGTTAACACGTAATTACCGAGTGGCAGACACTTCCTTGCCTCTTAGAAACTAAGGGAAGGCAGTGCAACGTAACTTCTAAGTAAAATTACTACAAAACTTGTCGCGAAAACCCACAATTACCGTCTTTGCGCATTTATTGGTTCCAACTGTTATTTGTAACACGAAGCTGCTATGCAGCCACAAACTTTTCCTAAGGCCATGCTATCTTGGTGTAAGGCAAGCGCAATTTTATAAAGAAAGCACGGTAGGCGCTAGGTGATAATAATAACAATACTACCGGTAAATAAACCAAGCAAACAAAAAACTATTTTCACTCACTGAACATCCAATATGTAGATTCTAATACATTTTCCTGTCTATAAACACAAAATACAGTTCATTATTGCATTTTACTATTTGATGTTTATTGAATCAGTTCTATTTTATTTAATTCGGACATGAAATCACATGAAATCAAAGAGTATAATAAGTATATACTATATACAGGAACATGAAATGCTACGTATATACTTATCTATGCATGAAATCATGAGCATGAGGGAACTTAGGCTTGGGTAGGCTTGGGCAAAAAATATCGATATATTGAAATATCGATATTTTTAAATAAAAATATCGATATATAACGTCGATATTTTAAATCGCGATATATCGACATATCGATATTTGTTTTACAGTATTTAATTCGTATCAATTTCGATATATTTTAAAATATTGTATCGTTTGTTTTCGCCGTCCAAACGTCAGTAGATAAAATTTTAGACTTTATCTTTACATCATTCAATTGATGACGATATACCGTTATATCGATATTGTTTAAAAATATAGATTCGATATATATCGATATATTTTTTCCCTTTGCCCATCCGTAGGCTTGGGTAAAAAAAAAACGATATATCGGAATATCGTTTTTTTCTCATATAAATATCGATGTATATATACAGGGTATTTTTGGAACGCTCCCGAAAACTAAGACAGGCGACAGCACCAAGTATACCTTTGATCATGGGTCACAAATAAATTCGATCCTGATGAAAAAAAAATCATCTTTTAACAACGTTTTATTAGCTTTATTCACGCGCCATCATGTTAGTACAGCTAAATGAAACGATAATTTCATAAAAAATATCATGAAAATACTGAAACATAAAACCAGCAGTGGAATGACTGAATTGTATCACCTGACTAAAGGTCAATGTACTCGCGAACGCAAATTCGCGCGGCCCGCAACTAGCGGGCCATACCACTTCATACGCTAATGAAAAAATACTTAAATGAAATGTAACCAAGGTTGGAGTCATGCGTTTTTATTCATCGTGTAGGTATGTTTATTATTCTCATGTATTCAGTTATGTACCTATTCAGATTAGTTCAGTACTAAGTTATTTAAAAAAAATAGTTATGAAACAGCTTACCGCTCTAAATCCTCCGTGGTCTTATGAGATGCGGCTCAAATTGTGCTCCATTCATTTCAAGGTAGATTTGGGTGCAGGCGGGGCATCATCGTGTGGTCTTCGACACAGTCCGTACATAGTTTCTCGAAAGCATCCACGATCCTTTGGCGCATTTTGTCAGCACTATCACACTCACGATTAAAAACCCTTTCTTTCACATACCAAAAAGAAGTCTAACGGGGTCAGATCTGGTGAGCGAGGTGGCCAAGCGTGTGGTCCTAGTCTGCCGATCCAGCGATCATCAAATAGCTCATTGAGGCGCTCACGGACGAACCTCACGACATGGTATCGCTGTCTGTTCAGTCGCTGTGGCTGAAACACTGGTCCCAGTATGCGATCCTTAAATAAACCTGCCCATACGTTAACCGACCATCGGGTTTGGTGCCCGGTTTGTCGAACAGCGTGCGGGTTAACCTCTGAATACACGTGTGTATTTCTTCGGTTCCACAGGCCGTTTCTGGTAAATGTCGACTCATCCGTCCAGATAATGTGCTCAATGGAACCAGGCACACGTTGTCGCTAGTATAATAACTAACGGCAGAAAACTCGTCGGCGGTCGTGATCGCCGGGAACTAAAGCTTACACTTTGTGCAATTTGGATGGGCGCATTCGGTTACGCTTCAACACTTTTTCCATCACAATTGTTCCATCCCGACGTCTTAACAATTTATTTGGCGATACTTCGTGTACCTGGGTTCGGATAACATGTTGCTGTATTCACAATCACTATAAAAGTACGCGTTAAGCATTATTAAAACAAAAAACGTAACAACAGGAATAATACCAACACGTAATCACAAGTAATAACAATACGATTGAGCTGTCGCTCGCGCACGCGTGTACAAAATCAACACGGAACTGTTTCAAAAACTACAATTAATAACGAACCCCAACAAAACTGAAACCTACTGCTAGGACATTATACTCTTTGTCTACTGCGTCACAGCGTGAGGCGACACGAGCCGGCCGGGTTACATTCTGCCGTCGTCGGGTTACATAAAGAAGGACGCAACTAACAAAAACGTAAAATGGAAATAAAAAATAAATTGATGAATTTTTCTTTCAGACCCTGTGTCTAAAGTATATTAAAAGGTATCTATATGAAAATTGAAATATATACGTAGAGACATGAAGATTTTAAGGACGAACAAATTTTTTGATAATTTGTTTATTTATTTAAATAAAACGAATTTTCCTTTTCATCTTAGCTTAAAAAATACACCTGGCATCACAAAAACATCGAAGGAAAGACGCATATAACTATTTGCGTCTTTCCAACCTAATAAATTAAAAAAAAAACTGCCATTCATTT